TTTGCGTAATATAGGACCTTTAAACTTATGTATCTTGCATTGATTCAATACACACATCAAGAATCTTGGACTTCCGGTCATTGTGCAATGCATACTGGGAAGGATTTTCCAAAAAAGTGAGCATCAAACCTCCATGTTTGTTTTCCCAGTGGGATCTGTCTATTGACAAAGTCGATCTTTTCAAGTCTTTTGAACCATATCACTTTTGTTTCTGGTTCTGATATTGTCATATTTTAGTTTTGGGATTCGGACATCGTTAATTGTGTGGTTGTTGGATCCTAACAGCAGAAAACAGCTCGAGAAATTGGTTTGCGAACTCCAAAGGGAATCAGATGTGTGTGACTGCAAACCTACATTCAAACTGTTTCCCTTCTCAACGGAATTGAAAAATAGTGAAAGGCGAAGGCGATGGGCAGGATTGATCCACGGGAAGGATGAAAAAGGAAACCTTTGACTGCCTAAATCATCCTGAGTTTGCAGTGAACATTTTGTATGTGGAGCGCCATCAAAGCAAAATCCAGATCCCTCGCTCAGTCTTGGTTACGAATTTAAAAAGTCAGCGCCAAAGCGAAAGGCACCAGCTGTTCACCAAGAAACACCTTCCACTGCAAAGAGACCAAGATGCGATGTTGCTGTAAAACTACAAGAACAAGAAAGTGTGAGCTCGGCCTGTTTGTCCTGTACCGCTCGCTTAACAAACAGGATCCCGCTTTGATGACGCTCCACATAAAAAATTTGCAGTCACACAGATCTGATTCCCTTTTGCATCTATGGAGTTCGCAAACAAATTTCTCGAGCCGTTTTCCACTGTTAGGATCCAACAGCCACACAATTATGATGTCTGAATCCCAAAACTAAAATATGACAATATCAGAACCAGAAAGAAAAGTGATATGGTTCAAAAGACAAGAAAAGATCGACTTTGTCAATAGACTCATCCCACTGGGAAAACAAACATGGTGGTTTGATGCTCACTTTTTCAGAAAATCCTTCCCAGTATGTATTGCACAATGACCGGAAGTCCAAGATTCTTGATGCGTGTATTACCAGAGCTTCATAACATACGAAAAAATACAGATATTATGCAGAACTAAATTGAATAGCTCCTTTTGTGAATACACACTTTTTGTATTTGGTGGGAGCTACACTTAATACCTGATAAAGTGCACAGACCAACACAGGTTTGGTGCACTCACCTCTGAACACTCACCACAGTCTTTTAAAAGCACTTAGCCCCATTTTAAAGAGCCATCACATGACCTGCCTCTTCTTCATCTGTGGTTTCCATCTCTCACCACACAAACAGTCGGCTCTCACTGTGTAAAAGAGTGTTCCTGTCCATCAGGGCTCACGCTAATGCAGCTCAGTCAAACAATACACGCAAACATTCAGTATTTTCTGTGTATGGGCAGTTCTTTTGTCAAAACTGATATTTCTGACCAAATGTAGTGACCTGGTGGTGGTTTAGTCCTGCTTTAGTCCTGGTTTAGCCCTGGTTTAGTTCTGGTTTAGTCCTGGTTTAGCCCTGGTTTAGTCCTGGTTTAGTTCTGGTTTAGTTCTGGTTTAGTCCTAGTTTAGTCCTGGTTTAGTTCAGGTTTAGTCCTAGTTTAGTCCTGGTTTAGTCCTGCTTTAATCCTGCTTTAGCCCTGGTTTAGTCCTGGTTTAGTTCTGGTTTAGCCCTGGTTTAGTTCTGGTTTAGTTCTAGTTTAGTTCTGGTTTAGCCCTGGTTTAGTCCTGGTTTAGTTCTGGTTTAGTTCTGGTTTAGTCCTAGTTTAGTCCTGGTTTAGTTCAGGTTTAGTCCTAGTTTAGTCCTGGTTTAGTCCTGCTTTAATCCTGCTTTAGCCCTGGTTTAGTCCTGGTTTAGTTCTGGTTTAGCCCTGGTTTAATCCTGGTTTAGTTCTGGTTTATTTCTGGTTTAGTCCTGGTTTAGTTCTGGTTTAGCCCTGGTTTAGTCCTGGTTTAGTTCTGGTTTAGCCCTGGTTTAGTTCTGGTTTAGCCCTGGTTTAGTCCCTGGTTTAGTTCTGGTTTAGTTCTGGTTTAGTCCTAGTTTAGTCCTGGTTTAGTTCAGGTTTAGTCCTAGTTTAGTCCTGGTTTAGTCCTGCTTTAATCCTGCTTTAGCCCTGGTTTAGTCCTGGTTTAGTTCTGGTTTAGCCCTGGTTTAATCCTGGTTTAGTTCTGGTTTATTTCTGGTTTAGTCCTGGTTTAGTTCTGGTTTAGCCCTGGTTTAGTTCTGGTTTATTTCTGGTTTAGTCCTGGTTTAGTTCTGGTTTAGCCCTGGTTTAATCCTGGTTTAGTTCTGGTTTAGTTTCTGGTTTAGCCCTGGTTTAGTCCTGGTTTAGCCCTGGTTTAGCCCTGGTTTAGTCCTGGTTTAGTTTCTGGTTTAGTGGTTTAGTCTGGTTTAGTCTGGTTTAGCCCTGGTTTAGTTCTGGTTTATTTCTGGTTTAGTTCCTGGTTTATTTCCTGGTTTTTTTAGTTCCTGGTTTAGTTCTGGTTTAGTTTAGTTCCTGTTTAGTCCTGGTTTAGTTCAGTTTTTAGTCTGGTTTAGTTCTGGTTTATCCTGTTTTAGTCCTGGTTTAGTTCTGGTTTAGCCCTGGTTTAATCCTGGTTTAGTTCTGGTTTATTTCTGGTTTAGTCCTGGTTTAGTTCTGGTTTAGTTCCTGGTTTAATCCTGGTTTAGTTCTGGTTTATTTCTGGTTTAGCCCTGGTTTAGTCCTGGTTTAGCCCTGGTTTAGTCCTGGTTTAGTTCTGGTTTAGCCCTGGTTTAGTTCTGGTTTAGCCCTGGTTTAGTTCTGGTTTAGTCCTGGTTTAGCCCTGGTTTAGTCCTGGTTTATTTCTGGTTTATTTCTGGTTTAGTCCTGGTTTAGTCCTACTTTAGTCTTGATTTAGTCCTGGTTTAGTTCTGGTTTAGTTCCTGGTTTAGTCGTGATTTTGTTCCTTGTTTAGTCCTGGTTTAGTTCTGGTTTAGTCCTGGTTTAGTTCTAGTTTAGTTCTGGTTTAGTCCTGGTTTAGTTGTGGTTGAGTTCTGGTTTAGTTCTGGTTTAGTCCTGGTTTAGTCCTGGTTTAGTTCTGGTTTAGTCCTGACTCTGGGCACAGGCAGAGGCGGGTCCCTGAGCTTCTCGAGTGCAGATGGTTCATGTGGCACTAGCATCTCACTAAACAGAGATGTTGTTTGGTGCTGGGCCATGGAGAGACACAAGCAGAGCTGCTTTAAAGTCTATAAAGTAGAGCCACTGTCACCACACTGTGGCACTTTGTGTTCCCAGCTCCCATCCAAGTACAAAGCTTCTGAGATCTGACAAGATCAGACAATCTCAAGATATGGACGGAATAGTTACAGCCTTTGTCCGATCCACTATGAGGCTGCAAAATGTAGAAGAAGTATGACTGTTACCATAGTCATGAACAATTTAAAATATATCAGCCCATCTTTTAATGGGAGAAAGTCCTCCAAATGCATATTGCATATAACAGGAAGCTGAAACTCATGAATATTGAACCCCCTTTTCCACTGAAAAACTCAAATATAAAGTAAGGAAAGAGTTACTTAGTCATTTATGAAACTGTAAATACAACCTCATACAGTCACAGAAGAACACAGCACACAGTCACAGCACTCGTCACAATGGCACTGTGTGAGCTGTCATATCACTAAATATTCATGAGGCTGGACAGTGCGTCCTCATTTCTTAAAACTGTCCTCTCTGGAGTCCACCCTTCAGCTTAAAGGTCCAGTATTATTATATACACAAAAGTGACTCTTGTGTGACTGAAGCCATGTGATAATACTGTTACCTCCTGAAAAACAGACCCAGAGTTGTGTTTTGTTTCAGTCACACAAAAGTGAGGTTGAGTTTCTTTTATTATTCGTTTGTTTACATCTCTGCTCCACCTTGTGATGTCATGAAGCTAGTAGTTTTCAAGTTAACGTTACCTTTTGCCTTTTGTTCAGTAGAGAAGAGCTGAAATACAGGGTTTGTGCGTTAAATGTGTGAATGAATCAAAACACGAGTCCAGGTCTGTTTGTGATGAGAAAACAACATTATAACATAGATCAGAATAGTCTTATACGGGCCCTTTAAGGTCCACGGGTTGGGTCTGTTGTTGTTATCGTACTGGAAAAGAAATAATTAAAATTATTATTCTCTTTGACATGTCTGTAAATAACCTCTTTGGGCAAATCCACACACATTTTCAACATGTTTCGTGCACGTGAGCGTTGTTCTGGACCTTAAATGATCACAGATTCCGATACGCCCCATTCCCCATCTCCCTCATCTTTAAACACACACGCAGCGCTTTTCAAAAACACGGGTTATTTCCACGTTTGGACGCCGAGCGCGCACACGTGGTCCTTACGTCACGCGTTTATCATCAGCACCTTGGACAGCAGCCCGTGCCAAAAGATCCGACGCACAAGGACGCACTGCACTGGCACCGCTCCTGTTCCCTATTAAACACAACTTCCTGGGAAAAAAACAGGATACGATCTTCCATTTTCACACCCAGAGAAGAGAGAGAGGCGCGGGACAACACGGAGGCGATATCAGGCGAATCTTTTTGTCTTGAAAACATTATGTTTTGTCAAGTCGGAATACGCGTAGAGATCGCATAGTCGGACTACTTCCACGCAAAACGACTCTTATTGCGTTTTAATGCCAGAGCTGTGTTTTGTCATCATCAAGGAGCGAGAGATTTGGATGCGGTACGATCCTGAGTGCGCGAAGCTATGGGTGCCACCGCTAGACAACAAAGGCGCATTTTGGCACGCGCTGTTCGCTGTCAGCTCAGGTGCGGGTGAACGAGCAAACTCACAGCCTTAATTGCGTTTGGTGTCAAGAAATTCATTGAACATTTTTGGCGTTTCTTTGTTGTTACGTACGTGGCGTCACTCGGTACTTTTACAAGACGTAGCGTGTGTTAGTGCGCGTGTTAATAGGCTAATTATGCAGGCGTTGAAGGATGGAGAGGTAGCGTTCGGGTGCTGATGGTGGTGCTCGGCTCTCCCAGCTTTTAGAGTCCATTAGCGCCGAGAGAAGACGCCTAAGCCCCGTGAGCAGAGGCTGCGCGCTCCCATTGGCCGGATGACGGTGCACATGGTATAACAACAGGATATGCAAAGGACTACGGGCTCCCTCCACAGCCTATCATGAGGCTCCAGGCCCGGATCGACCGAAATCTGCGCTGTAACCAGGAAGTGACCCTCAAACCGCGCACAGCACCAGCCCTCTGATCCTGGAAACTGGAGGTGTGAGTAGTTCACTCTCTTCTCTTACTGGAAACCGATGAGTGCACAGTCAGCCATGTGTTTGTGCTACTGCTGCTGATGTCTGGGCACATATTCACATCTGTTTTATGATTTATTAAATGCCAAACACAGTGCAAATGGTGATATTTTATAGATTTTAAAAGTGTTTTTAGCAGAACAAATAAATAGACCTTTGTATCAAATCAGACCTATAGACAATCTCAGACACGTTTTTGGCTTTTTAATCCACTGAACTTCATTCTTTATAAATCCCCCTCCCCTAGAAAACTTAAAGGATTCATATTACACTATTTTCTGATATATTTTCTCTATGTTCTAATGCTTTCTCGTCACAGACAGTCCTGGAGTTTTGTTTTGTTTCGTTGACACATCTTTAACATGTATGAGATCTTCTCTCAAACAGAAAACACTCCATCTTGCCACCTTGTGATGTCATCTGGTAATACCATAGACAAGACATGTCAAACTCAGGCCAGGGTGCCAAATTTGGCCCACAATATAATTATATTTAACCCACGAGATCATATCAAATATGTATTAGAGCTGCCTGCTGGCTACAGATAAACTATAGTCACATTATTTATTGAAAATTTTGTTATTATTTTATATATTTGCTTGTTCTGGATTCAGTGCTATTATTAAACATTTATTTTAATAAGAAAAGATTTAACATTATTACATATCTCAAAAGAAGAGAAAACATGCAGATGTTGTTGAAATTTTTCAGTAAGTATTTAGTTTGGCCCACGACTTAGTCCCAGTTTTTAATTTCGGTGAATTTGAGTTTGACACTCCTGACATAGACCATTGTTTTTCAAAGACTGGGTCACGTCCCTCAGGTGGGTCACAAGAGATTTTTTTGGGTCACTTTGTCACGATCTGTATGTAGGTTTGTGATACACAGTTCTGACACATGTTCAAATGTTAGGACATGTTTTGTATCATTTCTAATCTTTTTGTAATTATTTTATTGACTATTTAGTTTCAGTATTGCTGGTTGTTGAAAAGAAAAAGAAATGGGCTACACTTAATGAAATAAAAACACCAGGATCATGTGGACCGGGTTAATACAGCATTTTAAGAACAAAATGACGAGGCTCACAGCAGCAGGTACAGAGAGAGGAGCCACAATATTTAGTCTAAAGTGAACTGGAGCTGGATGTGCCCCCATGCTCACTTCCTATTTGGAAGTGAGTAATAGAGGAAGTGTATTATGGGTTACACAGGACATGCTCCACTGTGTTTTTAAATGCCACACACCTTCACTAGAATCATTGGAATAATTTCAGCCTTTGAATTGCTCATCTCAACTGAACTAAAGGTAGAAGGAGCTGTTCACCTGAAAACTACCTCTTCACAACACGGAACAAAGTGTTTAGAATTTTGGAGATATAGACAGACAATAATAAAGTGTTATTCAAACATGTGAATGAAACAAAACACAACTCTAGGTGTTTTTTTTTAGTAGGAGGTAATGCATTTAGTGTAATATAAGACCTTTAAAGGTACAGTATGTAACTTTCTTGAGGTCGCACATCATCAGCATGATTCCATAGAAATAGACGTTAAAACCATACATACAAACCGGAACATTTTCCATGGAGATATAAATGTGTAATGCCATACTGTGGAATATTATAGCCAAAGGAAGAACATTTCCATGGAAACAAGCAGGAGCAGGCTCTTCTCCAGGCCAAATAAGAGTCAGGTTTGTGGAGATGCAAGCCCACTCAGAGAAAGGACACATGTTTTTCAGTACAATAAACACAACCAAAATGAAAAAAACAAACAAAAAACAGTTACATGCTGTGGCTTTAAAACAATAATGGCAGTAATAGTAACATTATATAGTTTTCATTATTGTTGTTGAAGTTGTATTTGTAAATGTTTCCTGGCCCTGTCCTCTCTGTGCAGATCTGTCTCTGTCTCTGTGTGCTGACTGTGAGTCTGAGCTGAAACATGTTTAAGAACCGTGTGAGGATGTTCTTCAATGAGCTCAAAGTGCTGCTGCTGATGCGCTCGGGCTCCAGCTCCAGGTCAGTGTCACTATCACAGATCTGCTCCTTTTATCACATATGCACATAAACCCAGGCTGAGGTGTTGTGACTGAGCACCTCACTAAAGGAAGGACACAGTAATAATGCACATGGTTTTGGATAACACCTTTCAACACTCCTAAAAAGCTTTACAGTGCAATATTCAGACCCAGGGTGTCTGTCCCATCAACAACTAACACTCACAAACCACATTCATATTAGGGTGAAGTGGGTGAAATGTCTTGCCTAAGGACACAGTGGCAGGCGTTGGTGTGAATGGGAATCTATGACTTTTGGGGTTGGATAAAGTGAGACTACTCCATCCAGAATCATCTCTCCTATTGATCCAAATGGGCCCTATCAGCCCAGGTGTTAAGGTGGCTTTAACCAATCACAATGAAGTGTGAGCCATACCCAGAACAAGCTGATATCTGTAGCTCTTAATGACAATATAAAGCTTGTGATAAAGAAACACAATCAGCACTCTAGGCTCTTTTTGAAACTTCACTCACCGATTTCTTTCATATGGGGGAGAAGGAGCAGCCCAAAATACATCAGCAGAGTGAGTGGGAATCTTCTCTCCCGAGGTGTCAGTTTCTTTCCATATCTCCATCTCAGTGAGAGCGTGCCTTACAGTGTAGTGTACCCCACATTCTCCATGCCCATCAGTGCAAAATCTGAATGAAAACACAGCCTGCAGCCTGGACTTCATGTTAAACCATCCCCAACATGCTCCACAATATTGTTTGATTTTGTGATCAAAGAAAACAGGAGAAATGCCACTTTACTCACCCACCACCTTTTAATCATTAGACTACATTTAATCTTCACATTAAATTTTTATACAATTTGAGTTAATTGTAGTCCTTTGTTCAAACCTGATTTATTTCTTCTGCAGACATGAAGTTAATCTGTGGTAAATCTGAAGTAAACCTACTTCTTGCTGTCATATGTTTAAGAAAAACATAGAAATAAATCGTATTGATCCGTTCCCTGCCTCCACAGGTCGGACTCAGGAGGGGGAGGTCCTGACCCAGAGCCCAGGATCGGTGCCTCGTCTGTGGGGAGCTGTGGCTGTTCTCCCCTGGGCTGCTCCCATCCCAACAACCAGGATGCGGAGGATTATTACGGGAACAACCCCCGTCCCCAGAGCCTGTCCCTGGAGGAGAGGGAGGCCAAAGGTCTGGACACGTCTCTGCCCAGTCTGTCCGAGATCAGCATCAAGTCCCCGCAGTGTCGCATCTGCTTCCAGGGGCCCGACAAGGTAAGAGCCCACAGCAGAGCAGAGAGAGAAATGTACTTATACTCTACAGCTGCAGTCATCAGCAATTACTGGTGGTGTGAAGCTCACTGACAGCGCTGTTCTGTCTGAAGTTACTGAATATCTGAGTTTTATTTTACCACAATCTGACCAGAAAGAGATGATTTGGCTGGAACTACAAAGTGATCTGATTTGTGCTCTTACCATAGACTGTCTAAAAGAAGTGGACAGTTATGAATAGGATTTTTTTAACGGACAAAATAGCGAGTTAATACGAACATTTTAAGACCAAAATGACGAGGCTCACTGCAGCAGTTACAGAAAGAGGAGCCACAAGACCCCAGTGTATGTCAATGGAAGCTGGGGTCAGTAGGAGCCAGAATAGCCTCCTGGTGCACTTCCTTGTGATCTTGTGGCTCCTCTCTCTGTACCTGCTGCTGTGAGCCTCATCATTTTGGTCTTAAAATGTTCATATTAATTCGTGACACATGATTTCTGAATTTTTCATTTCGCAATTTTGTCCGTATATCAAGATATAATCAAAATATATCCCCCTATAGGCAACTGTTTTGATTGACAGCTAGTGCGTTTCATTGCTTACTAAGCCCTCTTCTCACTTTCCGGTGAGAAGGGCGGGCACATTTTACCACCTCAATCATGATTGGCTCTTGTGGTTGCTATGAAACGCGATAATAGGATTTCCAAATATGGAGTCTGGTTCCAAATTTGCTCCTGTAACCGTTTGCCTCAGGAGCTTCATTTGACTAGAGCTGAACACTGTGGGTGATGCCACTTTTTTATACAGTTTTCATACACTTTTTTCTATGGCTGTTACACATAAAATGACAGTCTAGCTAGCATAAGCCAACAGTTTTTAGTTAGTTACTCTCAACTAAAGAGGACCACGAAGGCTCATATGGATCACAGGCTCCTGAAAATGTTTTTTTTTTTCATCCATTTAGTATTTTTTCCTGCGTTTTTATCTGTGTTTGTTAATGTGTGCGTTGTGTCACCATGGAAACTACTAAATATTCTGTCAATAGAGATGCATGTAGAACACCTCAAGCGTGATGTCACTGTATCAATAAGAACTGATGACATTGCAGTTGTTCTTTTGGATTTATGTAAGATGATTGTGTATTATCAGTAGGGCTGCCAAAAGTATCAAAAATCAGATACTAATTGATATTAAATATTCATTTGAGCTGGTATCAATACTAAAACGTCACATTGACAGGACAGAAATGAACCTTTTCTGAATGTCTTTAGAATGATGTTGAGGTGAATCAGGACAAGTATAAGAGCACATAGACAAGTATACACCCATGGACCATTGTGGAACCTACCTGAACCACTGAGGGATACAGATATAAGGACACATGGGATAGAAAAAAAAAGTACTACTACTAGGGGTGTGCAAAAATATTGGACTATTGATATATCGTATCTTTTAATGTGATGATACAGTTTCGATATCATGGATTACTGTATCGATATATCACCAAGAGTATTTTTACGTGTGTTTTACTAAATTATTTTGTTACAGAGCTATAGTTTTTTGCTTGTGGAGTGAAAGGAAACTCATTTATGCAACACATTTGACATTTTGACACTGTTTTGAGGATCAAAATGTTTGTGTTTCATGTGAACTTTGCACAAGAAGTAGTTTAACAAAGACTTTTAATATCACAGCCATGATTTAGCCTTTATTTTTTATTGAACCGTATCGAATAGATTTGAAATATATCATATCAAAAGTGCACTGTATCGAGATATGTATTGTATCCGGGCCTGTGTATCGAGGTATGTATCGTATCGGCAACTTCTTAATGATACCCAGCCCTAACTACTACTACTTTTGTTGTTGATAATTTTCATCATGGTACTGGAATATCATTGAGTCTATTCCTTATTATCGAAATTGAGTTTGATATTACACCAGTATAATGTCTGAGTATAAGTCTCAGGCGACTGTTCACACCTTAGGGTATTTCAGTGGACCTCACTAATAACAGATAGACTTGTCTGTAAACAGCTAGGGTGTGTAGGTTTCAGTGCGGCTCCTCTCCACAGTCACATATCAGCAGTGACTCACCAGTGTCCTGACAGAACTGAAGAAGCCTCTCGGATGAGCGTGGACTACACAAAACTTTTGTGCAATTGACAGAATGACATTTTTCTCTCGTGATGGATGACTAAAGGATTACACACAATTATTTTTAAAAGTGGCAAAAATAATAGGTTAAAAAGACAATAAACTTGCAGTGTGTTATTTCAAACAAGGCCGTTACATTCTTGAATTTAAAGGTGCATTTCGTGATGGGTGGTCCGCCATTTGCTTGTCTCCATGGAGATGTCATAACTTGATGGTAAAATGTTCCACTGTGTGACTTTAAATATTCTTTATCTATCTTGTATTTATTCAATCACAAACAGGTGCTTTTATTGCTCAAATATATCTTGAAAAAAACATATTCTTGCTGTGAGTGGGCTCACCTCTCCACAGATCTGGTGTGTAACTTGCCTGGTGGTGTCACTTGCTTGTCACCATGGAGATATTAATGTCCCACACTATGACATTAAATATAGTATCCAAATATAAAAATATCTTTCAGGGACTGTTTACACGAGAATGCTTGCGGGTAAAAATGACAAAATATTTTATCGGAAGTGGCTTTCGTTTAGACGGTGACGCCGGTTTTGGGGCTTAAAAACACAAAAATCTGAACCCACCCTCCAGAGTGGAAAAGTTGAATACGCTCTGCCATAGCGTTTCCGTCTACACTGCCCAAGACGCAAAACTCTGGTCAGATCTGCTCATGTCTTGTACACATTTACATCACATACATACAGTACACAGAAAACTGGCATGCATACACAATCCAATTCCACACACTTTTGCGTAACCGTATGCACGCAGATTTCCTCTCGAAAACACTCGTCTAAATGTGGAATAAAAAGTGAAGACGCGACGCCACTTTTGCGTCTTCTTTTCAGACCGTCATCAGATAAATGTAGCCTCAATCATAGCAGCTTTGTTTTGTTTGTTTGTTTTCCAGAATACCTTGAAAAACATGCTTACTTACTGTGACTGTACTTGCCTCTCCACAGATCTGACCTGACAAACCACCAACTTGTCTCTATGATGATAGAGACATGCTGTATCACACTATTTTCTTAGCCATGATGTAATGTAGTTTTCTCATCACAAACAGACCCGGAGTTGTGTTTTCTTTCACACGTTTAACTTACAAATCCGTATACTCTCAAACAGAAAACACTCTGTTCCACCTTGTGATGTCATGTGGTAATACAGGAAGTGCTCCATTGTGTTTTAAACTTCATACTCCTTCACTAGAATCATTTGGATAATTTCAGCCCTGGAATTGCAAATCTCTACTGAACCACAGACGCAACCCCATCTCCTTACGCTACACACAGTAACCTACGTTCAGTTTGTCGATTAAAAATCAATGCAATTCTAAATGATTAATTATCGATTAGTCGACTAATCATGCCCATCTCTAGTAACAATGTTATTATATGACTAAAAGCTCACAAGAGTCAATTTTGCATAACACTGGACCTTCAATTCATTTATATACTGTGAGATATTTGAGGGAAAGTAATAACATCTCTATGAAGACAAGCAAGTGAACAGAAAAGTTTCCAAATCCAGCTTTCACTGACAGGGGCAAAAGTTGAATAGTTGTTAAAAGAATTGACAAGTGAGATTTGCGAAAGTGTGGACGTGGTCAGGGCTGAGAAGTGTAAAAGTTTGAGCAGTGGTCAGATTAATTGAAACCCTTTGACTGGAGGCAGGCAGGAGCTCCAGTGAGAAGTGTCAGTCGAGCAGAGCCTCAGGGAGCTTCAGTGACAGCACCAATCTGCTCCACATCGTCCACTAATACAGACACCGTGTACAAATGAACAGAGCAGACATGTTTGGAAGCTGTCTGAAACACTAAAGCTGCACTGTGGAACTTTTCGGTTGGGGGCCATACTACTAATACCACTGTTATTGCTATTACATTTACTACTACCACTGTTACTGCTACTACGTATACTGCTCATACTACTGTTACTGGTACTACATGTAGTACTAATACCACTGTTACTGCTACTACATATAGGGCTGCTACTACTACTTCCACTGTTACTGGTACTACATATAGGGCTACTACTACCACTGTTACTGCTACTACATGTACTACTAATACTACTGTTACTGCTACTACATGTACTAATACCACTGTTACTGCTACTACATGTACTACTAATACTACTGTTACTGCTACTACATGTACTAATACCACTGTTACTGCTACTGCATTTACTACTACCACTGTCACTGCTATTACATATACTGCTAATACTACTGTTACTGGTACTACATGTAGTACTAATACCACTGTTACTGCTACTACATATACTACTGCTACCACTGTTACTGGTACTACATGTACTACTAATACCATTGTTACTGCTACTATAAATACTACTACTACTACTACTACTACTACTACTACTACTACTACTACTACTACTGCTACTACTACCACTGTTACTGCTACTATACATACTAATACTACTGTTACTGCTACTACATATACTACTACTACTGTTGCTGCTACTACATGTACTACTAATACCACTGTTACTGCTACTACATATACTACTACTGTTACTGCCTCTACATATACTACTGCTACCACTGTTATTGCTACTACATATAATACTACTACCACTGTTACTGCTTCTACATATACTATTGTTACTGCCACTACATATACTACTACCACTGTTACTGCTACTACATATACTACTACTGTTACTATGCCAAGAATCCACTGCAGATACTAATTAACTACTACCACTAACACTACTAATACTGCTAGTGATACTACTACTGCTACTACTAATACTACTAATACTAGTACTACACCAAGAACACACAGGTGCACAATACTTTACTATTACTACTACTAATACTACTACAAATGTACTGCGCAAAATCATAACAATTCTGTGATGATTTTGTGTTGTGGTTCTTAAGATGATTATCCAGTTCTAGAGCAGAGTGAGTCTCACATGAGTCTCTTATTTAGGCTGCTACTTTCAGTCCTGAAATGTAAAACTCTTTCTGATCTGAACCGTCTATGTTTCAAAGAAATGTTATAATATCACAAGGTTAAAAAGGCTTCAAACTGCTGTTACAATGCTGACATTTCAAACTCCATTTCAGTACTAAGGAATAGACTTGAAACTCATTACTGTCTCTGACACCACGATGATAATAAAAACACTCTTTATTTGACAATAGAATGTGATTTTGAACTTTCTTTTCTCTTCCCATGTGGTCTTATATCTGTGTAAATATCACTACTACTACTACAACTACCACTACTACTACACATACTACTACTACCACTGTCGCTGCTTTTAAGAACCCACTGCAGGTGCAAAATATCACCACTACTACTACTACTACTACTACTACTACTACTACTACTACTACTACTACTACTACTACTACTATATATACTACTACTACCCCTGTTACTGCTACTAAGAACCCACTGCAAGTACAAAATATCACCACTACTACTACTATATATACTATTACTACTACCCCTGTTACTGCTACTAAGAACCTACTGCAAGTACAAAATATCACCACTACTACTATATACTACTACTACTACTACTACTGTTGCTGCTACTAAGAACAGGTACAAAATATCATCACTACTACTACTACTACTACTATATATGCTACTACTACCTCTGTTACTGCTACTAAGAATCTACTGCAAGTACAAAATATCACCACTACTACTATATATACTACTACTACTACTACTATTACTACTGTTACTGCTACTAACAACCCACTGCGGGTACAAAATACCACTGCTACTACTACTACTACTAAATATACTACTACCACTGTTACTGCTAATAAAAATATCACTGCTACTATATGTACTACTACTACTACTTTTACTGCTACTAAGAGCCCACTGCAAGTACAAAATATTACCACTACTACTACTGTATATACTACTACTACAACTGTTACTGCTACTACTAAGAACCCACTGCAGGTACAACATATCACCACTACTACTACTATATATACTATTACTACTACTACTACTACTACTACTACTACTCTTTATTTAGACAATAGAATGTGATTTTGAACTTTCTTTTCTATTCCCATGTGGTCTTATATCTGTGTAATCCCTCAGTGGTCCAGGTAGGTTTCATAGTGGTCCATGGGTATATTCAGTAAATGTTCATTTCTGTCCTGTTAATGGAACTTTTTTACAACCGATACCTGCTCAAATGAGGATCTATTTTCGATACTTTTAAAAGTAGCATCTGATTTTCAATACTTTTGACAACCCTAGAGACAAGGCTAAACAGAGGGATTCATTTTACATTGAAATTAGTGCAGTACCTGGAGCTTCATCTGGTACATTTGAACACATTTGTGATGGATTCTATTCTGATCCTGTGGAGGGTCGAGGGCTGGGCCATGTCAAGGGAAAATGAATCAGGATTCTTTCCCTCACATTGATCGATCTCCATTTCCAATTAGATTTGATTGATCTTTTTGAAAAACAAAATGAAAAGGCTTTTAGTATTGACTCCATGAACATAAACAGTACAGGCGTATTTCTGCTCCAAACCACACGCTCTTACCTCTCCATTCAATGATCTCTTGTCTTATGTTGTTGTTATGGAACAGTAATTCAAAAAAACATTCAAAAATACTTTACAGAAGCAATTTACATGCCATTCTTTCATTCAGATTCACACTTTCACATATTTTGGACTTCTTTACTGAGACGCCCTGAGAATCTGTGGCCCCCATTAGGAATGACTGGATTTTATATTACTGTCATTTTTCCAAAAATATTCACGAAGCACCAGAATTATGTGGCTTTTGTGGTGACATTTGAGTTCATTAAATCATCTGAACATATTTGAACACTTTAAGATTAAGAGTCGATTTTATGTTTTTGTTAATCTGCAATATTCTGCACTCAAATCATTACTCCTAAAATATGTTATGTACTGATGTTTCTTAACAGTTGCCTTATTAAATGTGGTGTAGGCTACAGATATTTACTTAAACATAGGGTGACCAGATTTTCAAAATCAAAAAACTGAGACACTCTTGGTTTGTGGTGGTAATAATAAAATTGTGAAACGACTGTGTAATTAAGGACAATTGTTCAGCAGTCAGCCCATTTATTTATTTATTTATTTATTTTATGTATTTATTTTGGGCAAGTAAAGCTTTACATTCTTAAATTAAATGAAAATAACCACAAAAACGGAAAAAAAGAAGAAAAAAAACGAAAGAAAATACTATTATTACTTATTACTATTATTTATCCCACCCCCACCTCACACATTCATTCATTCACATTCATGACATGTGAGCCAGTATAGTCACATTTTCTTTGTGTTTTTGTCATTTTTAAGTATCTTTTTCTGTATTTTACTTGAATAAATGATAATTGATACCTCTTTTTACTGTTGCCAGGTATTAAATGTGTCAAAAATAGGGACATTTCTTGTGTAAATCAATGGTTTTGGATAAGTCTGGGGACACAGGGCTCAATAAATAAAAATAATAAATAAAATAAAAGTAAATAGAGACGTTTGGTCACCCTAGCTAAATCCAAAACGTGTGTAGTTGTCATTCTAAGCTGTTCCTGCTGTTCCTGCGTGTGTCCTGCAGGGGGAGTTGCTGAGCCCGTGCCGCTGTGATGGTTCTGTCCGCTGCACGCACCAGAGCTGCTTGATCCGCTGGATCAGTGAGAGAGGCTCCTGGAGCTGTGAGCTGTGCCTCTTTAAATATCATGTGCTCGCCATAAGCACCAAGAACCCACTGCAGGTACAAAATATCACCACTACTACTACTACTACTACTACTACCACTGTTACTGCTACTACTAACAAGCCACTGCAGGTACAAAATATCACCACTAGTACTACTATATGTACTGCTACTACCACTGTTACTGCTATTAACAACCCACTGCAGGTACAAAATATCACCACTACTATTACCTCTACTACATATACTACTACTGTTACTGCTACTACTAAGAACCCACTGCAGGTATAAAATATCACTACTACTGCTACTACTACTACTACTACTACTACTACTGTTACTGCTACTACTAAGAACCCACTGCAGGTACAAAATATCACCACTACTACTACTGCTATTACTACTGTTACTGCTACCAAGAACTCACTGCAAGTACAAAATATTACCACTATTACTGTATATAATACTACTACCACTGTTACTGCTATAAGAACACACTGCAGGTAGAAAATGTGACAACTACTGCTTCTACATGTACTACTACTACTACTACTACTACTACTACTACTACTACTACTACTACTACTATTACTACTACTGTTACTGCAACTATTAAGAACACACTGCAGGTATAAAATATGACCACTACTGCTACTACATACACTACTACTACCACTGCTACTGCTACCACATATATTACTACTGCTGTTACTGCTACTACATATACTACTACTACCACTGCTACTGCTACTGCTACTACATATACTACTACTACCACTGTTACTGCTACTACATATACTGCTATTACCACTTTTGCTGCTACTACATATACTACTACAACTGTCACTGCTACTACTAGGCCAAGAACCCACTGCAGGCACTAACTATTACCAGTAATACTACTAATACTACCATTAGTATTACTACTACTACTACTACTACTACTACTACTACAACACCAAGAACACACAGGTGCACAATATTCTACTATTGCTACTACAAATACTACTACAAATGTACTGCACAAAATCGTTTGTGTGGTTGTGTGTTGTGGTTCTTAAGATGATGTTCCATTTCTTGAGCAGAGTGAATCTCTCATGAGTCTCTTATTTAGGTTGCTAGTTTCAGTTTTGAAATGTGAAACTCTTTCTGATCTGATGTTCTCTTTTTCTTTCTTTTTATTTAGACTTAGTTTTACATTTTACCAAATAGTTCCTCATACCAGTGATTTCAACTTTTAGGGCTGAGCTTGAATGATTACAGTACCTTTTTTATCTTTGTCTCCCTGTGTGAAATAAGCTGTTTTTTGGTTCATTTTTGGTTGATTTTGTGGCAGTATCCTACTTCTAAACACCCCGTGTCTCCCTCTAGTGGCAGTGGATCTCCCTGTCTGTGATCGAGCGTGTGCAGATCGCGGCGGTGGTTCTGGGCTCTCTCTTCCTCTTGGCCAGCGTCTCGTGGCTCGTGTGGTCGTCTCTCAGTCCCTCAGCCAAATGGCAGAGACAGGACCTGCTCTTCCAGATCTGCTACGCCATGTACGGATTCATGGACATCGTCTGCATCGGTGAGACATTTGTGGTCAACCTTTAGAGTGGGACATACTATATGACATTCTGACACACATATTCAAGCCAGTGGTTTCTTAGCCAAAAAAGATTAAAATATAAACGTGTGTTTTTTGGAGTTGTGTTTATTGCTCTGGAAATTATACATCCTGAAAAAACACAGTGAGCGAGCTTGCATCTCTGCAAACCTGACTCTTATTTGACCTGGTGGAGGGTCTCATCATGGAAAAGTTGTTTGTTATTTAAATTCTTCCACAGTATGGCATAAAACCTGTCTATCTCCATACTGAATGTTCTGTATTATGGTTTTATTTTTAATCATAGAATCATGCAGTTGACGTTACACCTTCAGAAAGTTACAAGCAAGTGTCTTTAAATCAGTACGTCAGTAATTGTTCAGATACTTAATTTAACTGAACTTTTAAAGGTTCACTATTATTATTATCTCCACACTATGGCATAAAATGCATAAAATTTATGTTGCATTTATTAAATGATATGTCCGTTGTTATTTAGGTGTTTTTATTTCTGAAACATATCTTGGCCTGGTGACATTGCCTGTCTCTCTTTGTGTAGATGGATGCAACGATATTCAATATAATATCGAATTGTTCAATACTAGTGTCACGATTCAATGCACATGTTCGGTGGATATGCACGTGTCCCTCCATGCGTGCTGTGTTGTCATTTATTTTGGTCCAAAAGGAAAACTGTAATCCTGGGGTCCTCCTCAGATGCAGAAAGAAAACAGCTCCATAGGGACTTACAGCTGAAATATTCTAACAGGAGAGTTTTGTCTTTCACTCACTTTTTATTTTACACTAATTGACCCAGGAATGACAAAGAGATTCACTTTTAAATATTTTAGAATCACTTTTGGCTTTACATTGACTTTAATCCAGTGTGCTCCTATATGCACCTGCGATGCAACTCATGACCTTTTTCTCATAGGTATATATATATAGTCTGATTGTTCAGAATGTAGTTGTTAGAGCGCCGTGTGTAAAAGATCAGGTCAGTGTGGGAGGAGCTGCTGTCTGTCTCCGCTGCTGCTGGAGACGAGACAGAGCAGCACCAGCACACAAAAGCCTGTGTGAATGCAGGAGAGAAGAGACACACTCAGGAGGAAAAGAAATCATTAAATCATCATCAAAAAGGAAAAGTCTTCTAGTGTAATGGTCTAGAAGTCTATATTAAGAGTAGACTGGCTTTTATAAAATATAGAATAGCCTGAGAAAGCTCTGTTCTTATTTTCACTGCATAAAAATGCTGAGAATCACAGAACCAAATGAACAGAAACACTTCACATATAAACTCCAGCTGTGCAGTAGTTGTACTGTCATGTATTGTATGTCATGTGTGTAATGTTTCATAAACATCATAGTGTTAAAAATTACATGAGATTTTTTTTTTTTTCACGTTTTAAAATGTATCGAAATCAAATTGATATCGTGACCCGTGTATCGAGACACGTATCGAATTGTGGGGAAACTGTATCGTTGCATTCCTAGTAGATGGATAAGTTTAATGCCATACTGTGGAACATTCCAGGCAAAGTAAAAACAACAGTACCCGGGGAAAAGAAGGTACTTGAACCTCTCTCCAGAAAATCACATACAGTAGCTTTAAATTCTCTTTCATTTTAATTGTATTTATGTGTAATAAATGTGTAATATAACACAGCATAATGCAGACACGTCAGACTCAGGCCCGGGGGCCAAATTTGACCCACCATATAATTATATTTGGCCCACGAGATCATATCAAATATGTATTAGAGCTGCCCGCTGGCTACAGATAGACTATAGAGACATTACTTATTTAAAATGTTATCATTTTATATTCAGCTTGTTCTGGATTCAATGTTTAAGTAAAATTATTATTAAACATTTATTTTAATAAGAAAAGGTTACATATTATATATTACATTACATATCTCGAAAGAGAAAACATGCAGATGTTGTTTACATTTTTTAATAAATATTTAGTTTGGCCCACGACTTAGACCCAGATTTTAATTTTGGCCTCTGTTAATTTGAGTTTGACACCTCTGACAGAATGAAATTGTAATACAGCTTGCTGCTAAAAGCTCATTGCATGTTTGTTTTATGTTTTAGACACAGACTATGTTCCCACAAAACTCACATGAACAACATTATACAGTCCTGAATCCTTCCTGGTTACATGCTCTACTTTCTCACAATCACAACAAGCATCTTATTGTCCTATTATGACCCTGTTTCACCTTTGAACTTTGACCTCTCTCTTACCCTGCAGGACTCATTATCCACGAGGGCTCCGCAGTTTTCCGCATCTTTAAGCGCTGGCAGGCCGTGAACCAGCAGTGGAGGGTTTTGAACTATGAAAAATCCAAGGACCTGGGCGAGCCGAGTACTTTGAACTCTAAATCAGGAGAGAGGGCGTCGGCGTCTGCGGGCGGGACAGTGGACAGCAGGGGGCACCCCATTCGGAGATACGCCATAAGAACTATCTTCCATCAGAACTGTGGCTTCACTTTACTGCATGTACTGAACCAGATCAGGGCCCGAGGGCTGCACCGGAGAGGCCAGGAGGTGGTCATGAGGGTCACCACTGTATGAGAGCGACTACATGTAAGAACTATGAACTAACACGTGAAAACTATACCTGGGACTATATAGGGTTTTTAATGGAAGTTAAACACAGTCGTACATGTTTAAGGGTCTCCACTAAACGAACACGGGACTTATGGAGAAAGAGAAAAACAACGTGGAACATATGATTTTATATAAAGGTCTGCATCACTGCCATTCCACACTGCAAAAAGTCACATCCAGATTTGTTAAAATGACTTGAATTACAAATATATTTCCAACTGACTGACAAATGTTACTTATTTGTTGATTTTATTTTTATATCAAGCTTATTGTTTTCTTTCTTATCTTAAGTGCACTATTCATTCGAATAACGTTTTTACTTAAAGGTGCAGGTTATTTTTTTGTAGATTTTTCTGTCTTTCATATAGCACTTTGAATTATTTACTTGTACTTGTTCTTGTTTGCCTAGAATGTTCCACAGTATGGCATTAAACTTATCCCCATGGAGACACATAGGCTGCATCGCCAAGCCAAGTTAGATCTGTGGAGAGGCAGCCACATTCATGCTTTTGGAAGGACGTTTTAAGTGATTAAAAACACACGTAATGAAATAAAATGATTGCGAGACATGTTTAATGCAATGCTGTGGAACATTAATTAAGGCAAAGTAATAGCATCTCCATAGAGACGAGCAGGTGGTGGACCCTACACCAGTAAAATTACAGAGTGCGGCTTTAAATAATCCAATCCAATCCAACTTTATTTGTATAGAAGATTTTACTAACGCACAAGTCTCCAGAGTGTTGCATGGAGTAGTCGCAGTGTAAATCAACGCATTCAATAAAATAAAGCATAAAATAAATAAATAAATTAGCAAGTCAATAAAAAACATTAACAAACATAAAATTAGCAAATATAAAAATAGCAAATAAAATCAATAATAGACAGTCAGAAGAGCACACAGCTCTCACGCCGTGTTAAAAGTCAGTCGGTAAAAGTGTGTTTTTAAAAGAATCGACTGAAGGGGGCGCTCTTAACATGACGGGAGAGCGTTCCAAAGTTTGGGGCCAACCACAGAAAAGGCCCGGTCGCCCTAGGGTCACCCCAGAGTCACCCCAGGGTCAACCCCGCTTTTTAGTCTCGTTTTCGGGATAACAAGTTGGAGCTGGTCCTTACACCTCAGAGCGCGAAGGAGTGTAGGAAACGTGAGGTCTGAAATGTACGGGGAAGTGCTTTAAAAACAAGCAATAACATTTTAAAATCAACTCTAAAATGAACATGGAGCCAGTGCAATGAGGATAAAATAGGTGTGATGTGTTCTCTACAACGTGTGCCGTCAAATCAAGATTTTTAAGCGTGCAGTCCCCATAATTATTATTCTTGCAATGTCTTGTGAAAGCAACACACTGTGCATCTAATTATTAAGTCTACATTCAGTAGCAAGAACCACGCCAACAACGACATAGTGCAAAGAAGAAGTTTACTGATAATGTTCGAGGCGGGGCGGAGATGACTGGGTTGAGACTCTGGGTGTGAGTCTCAATCTTCATTTGGCCCAGCCGGAGCGAGACCCTCCTCGTAGGCGTCTTATGGCTGAAATACAACCAAGATAGAGGGGCGGAGGGTGGGGTGGAGTTAGCCGAGACAAACTGGGGTGATGGGAAAGACTGTTACAAATAGGCAAATTCGAGGTGTGGTCGAAATGAGTTGTGGTTGGCTGGTGAGAGGAGAGGGCAGTTGAGGCGTGGTCCTGCTCCTGAATCTCAGCTAATCAATTAACTACATGTATTATATTGATCGCAAACCTTAAAGGGATAGTTCAGATTTTTTTACATGAATCTGCATGTCATCCCCGTGAGCAGTGTCGTGCATCAACACTGACTTACCCCCGACATCGTCCGGTGAGCCGAGATACTGGCCGTTTTCGGTGGTGACGAAAGTAGTCCAGCAAGTTGCCTGGGGACAGTAAAATAAAGTGTTTTTCTTCTCAAAACAATATGTGTTCAAAAGAGTGATACATTTGCATGACAAAACCATCACCCACAAAAAAGTCAGACCTCATAATCGCTTGGCATTATTTTCTCTCCATTCGTATCACTGCGCATTGCCGCCAGGTGACAACTGCGCACGGATCCATCACTTTCTGCAGTTGTTCGGCAGTGTTTACATGCGCTACATTGTCGCTCACTCGGTCTCTTACGGCTCCATCTGTGGCTCCAGCTTCAACTTGTACCACTTCTCTGTCTCTCTTCTCTCTCTCTCTGCCTGTTCTAACTCCATCTGGCGAAATTCGGCATCAGTATATTCGGGTTCACAAAGATCTCCCCTTGGCTTTGTGGTAAAGGCAAAGTCTTTATTGTCTTTGTCGTAATCAGACATGTTGTCGCTAACATTCCGAGCAGTAAACAAAGTGAACCAGGCGCGGCTGTCACCTGGCGGCAGCGCGCAGTGATACGAACGAGAGAGAGAGAGAGAAAATAGTGCCAAGTGATTATGAGGTTTGACTTTTTATTCGACGATGGTTTTGTGATGCAAATGTATCACTCTTTTGAACACATATTGTTTTGAGAAGAAAAACGCTTGATTTTACAGTCCCCAGCCAACTTGCTGGACTACTTTCGTCAGCACCGAAAACGGCCAGTATCTTGACTCACCGGACGCTGTCGGGGGTAAGTCAGTGTGGATGCACGACACTGCTCACGGGGATGCCATACAGATTCATATCAAAAAATCCAAACTATCCCTTTAAAGAAAGCGCCAAATGCTGAGAGCTAGGGCTGTTTGATTACGAAATAAATCATCACGATTATTTTTGATCAATATTGAAATCACAGTCATTAAAGTAGTTATTTTTTTGTTACACGATGCATTTATTCAGCATTTCTCTCTCAAAAAGAAAACAAACAAACAAACAAACAAAAACACTTAACACACTGTTATTGATAATTTTGTCAAAACTTTCAAACTGAAAATAAATATAAGCCTCGTTGTACCTCGTTTTGAAATGTATAAAACATAAAATGAATTAAATTGAACATGAAATAAGACAGAGAAAAACACAAATGTCTCCAAAATAAACTATATGTCTGCAAAAAAAAAAATCTAAAAATAATCTGTATAAAAAATATCCAATCCAATTAATATAAATGACTTGCACAGCCGTACTGAGAGCTGATTCCTGTCGTGTTGGTGCCCACTCTGCTGCACTTTGTTGTGTGGAAAAGCTATTCCAAAGTCATCTCATGCAAATGGATCCTTGCAATTTATGAGCGCTAGGAACCATTTGGCAGATTTAAATAGGCCTCCCTACTTTTTCTTTTCATGGTTCAAAAAATCATCTTTAATTCAAGTCATTTTCATTTGCCAAGATGTTACTTTTTGCAGTGCATCCGGTCATGATTTGGTTTGGTGGTTCTGTACGTTTGGGAGCTGTCAAAATCATGAAATTGTACTAAGGAAGAAGAAGAAGAAGAAGAAGAGGAGACATTTTTGTTCACTGACTTGACCTGGTGTGGACAGACCAGGCTCCAGTTTCTGACATAGAACCAAATGTAATTCCCCCCATGTGTGGTGTCCTGTGGAAAAGAGTTGGTGAAATGATAAGTGTTGTAACAAAGGGATGATGGTAGTGAAAGATTCTTGTACAAAATGTTGGAAAATGAAGTTTGATTTGAAGTGTTTTTCTAATGAGACGCTGTGATTCCTCATTTGTCCGGACGTGGTTCAGTGTAGAGAAGGTTTCTGCGGTGACTCCATCCGCTGGGACTGGCCGTGGATAACTCCTCACACTTAGGGTGACCAGAATTTCAAAATAAAAACGTACCTGTTTTTTTCGTGGTTGGTAATAATAAAATTGTGAAACGAGTGCATAATTAAGGAAAATTGTTCTGTAGAGACCATTCAGGACTAACATGTGAGTCAGTATAGGCGAGTTTCATTGTTGACAAAAGCGCGCGTTGAATTATTTTGGCCGGCGGCAAGAAACACTAATTCAGCATGACGGACGGAGCGAAAAAGCACGTAAAGGCAGTGTTGGGAAGGTTACTTTTAAAATATATTCCCCTACAGATTACAGATTACACACACCAAAATGTAGTTTGTAACGTAATCCATTAAATTTCTTAAAGTGAGTAACGTAATCTGAATACTTTGGATTACTTGATTTGCGGTAGAGAAGCAAAGACAAGAATATCGTAATATAAGATGTTTTGTCTGCTAAAAGAAAATAAAAAGCCCAGACTTTCCTTAACTGTATTAAAAATATTATTGATAGAAGAGGAGGAGACATGTCCACACAGTCCTGGTTTAGTCCTGGTTTAGACCTGGTTTAGTCCTGGTTTAGTCCTGGTTTAGATCTAGTTTAGACCTGGTTTAGTCCTGGTTTAGTCCTGGTTTAGACCTGTTTTAGTCCTGTTTTAGACCTGTTTTAGACCTGGTTTAGATCTTGTTTAGACCTGATTTTACTCCTGTTTTAGTTCTGGTTTAGACCAGGTTTTAGACCCAGTTTAGATCTAGTTTAGATCTAGTTTAGACCTGGTTTTAGTCCTGGTTTAGACCTGTTTTAGACCTGGTTTTAGACCTGGTTTAGACCTGGTTTAGTTTCCTGCAATGAGTGGAATTACCGAAAAAAAAAAAAGTGGGGGTGTAGCCCAAAATGTAAAAACAGGAAAATAGCGCCGTGTAATCCATTTATTTCAACAAAGTAACTGTAATCCAATTACCACTCATTGAAACAGTATCTGAACAGATTCTGAGTAACAGAATCTGTTACTCCCCAACACTGCGTAAAGGGTATTGATCCCGGTTATTTATCCACTCTAACGGCAGAGGACCGAAGACGATTTGACCAGAAATTGGTCATAAGCATCGACGGACACCAAATCACCCTTTTCAACCCCTACAAAGCCTGGACCAAACCAAATTACTGGTCAGAATTGCCAACTACCTGGCCAAATATTCACTTCAGGCGATATCCACATTGACTTGGTGGAAACTCCTGGGCCATTCACAGCAGAAAAGATGAAAGCCTCCAAGAGTCTCGATGCGTTGTTGAACTTGTTGGAGTCCACGGTTTGCTCGGATCTTCTACGTTTGCTCTGCGAATGTTTGAAAGCCATTTAATTCGCTGTTAGCGGTTCTTTTCACTCGGAATACGAAAAAGACATTTTCCTTCTTCCGTGCTTCTATTTGTGCATCCGATAATGCAGCAGGAATTTACCATTATCGGGGATAAATACGCGAGGTTACGCACTGTGTTTGACTGACCTCCGACCAAATTATTTCCCAGCATGCAACGCGGGCTTTTAATAACAATGACATCAGCTGAAACTCGCCTATATTCACATTTTCTTTGTGTTTTGGTCATTTTTAAGCAGCGTTTTACCTAAACAGATGACAATGTATGATTCTCTTTACTGTTGGCAGGGATCAGATTGGTTAAAAATAGGAATAATTAAGCAGAGGCGGAGTTAACAATTTCAGGGCCCTAGACGAACTTTACTTTGGGACCCTCACTGCTTGGGCTCCGCACCGTTTTGTTTTTGGCGAGGAGAAAATTCAGTTTGTCGACTGAACAAAAGTTAGTTTGGTTGAAGACGTTTGGCAGCTCATCCAAGCTGCTTCTTAAGTTCTGGTCAGACGCTGGTGGACACTTCCTTATATCTGTCTGCAGGGAGGAGCTAACTAAGGCTACGCTCAGACTGCAGGGCTTAATGCTCAATTCAGATTTTTTGGTGAAATCCGATGTTTTTGCGAGGTCATTCACATTTCCAAATAAATGCGACTTGTATGTGATCTCCAGTGTGAACAGTAAACCGCCCGAAAGTGTCCTGCATGTGCACTGGAGACACGACGACGTCAACCGCAGTGAGCGTGCTCTGTGTTTACAGAAGTTGTCCAAACATGGACGCGAGCATTGAGCACCTGGAGATTTTAAAGTTCCTCTTGTACTGGAGCCAGAACATGAACAACTTACTTATTTTAAGGAGGAGATTGAGAAGGAGAAGGACGAGGTTTTTGGCCGTGGCGTTTTGTAGGACAGCAGCAGCGACGTCCGTTGAAAGGAACGTGTGGATGCAGAGATGTAGCCAAGAGTGGTGAGTGGCGATGTGCTTTGCTTCAGTGACACGGAGTTCATTAACAATATTCACCTGCTTCAGCACAGAATAGTGAGGCTTGTGGCTTGTTGATAACATGTAGGTCAGATGAATGAGCTTTGGCCGTTCAGAGTGAAGTCACATGTTAAAAGATCAGATATGTATCGGTTTCAGGACCACATATCCAAGTGGCCTGGGTCGCATTTGAAAAAATCGGATCTGTGTCATTCAGACTGTCATTAAAAGATCAGATACAGGTCACATAGAAGCCAAAAAATCGGATTTGGGTGACTTCAGGCTGCAGTCTGAACACAGCCTAACTGAAACTAACACACACACTTTTTTACAGTATGTGTTTGTTAGTTTGGCCTGTTGACCTGTAAAGGGTGTGGGGTCTAATTAGCAAAACAATTCATGGCCATAATGGAGCTTCCACACCTCTGAACCTGACCTGGCTACACCTGTTGTTCTCTTATTTGTTTTGATTTAGGTTTGAGGATGGAGTTGTAGGCCTAACTAACAAACAGAAACTGTAAACAAGTGTGTGTGTTAGTTTCAGTGTAGTGAGCTCCTCCCTGCAGATATAAGGAAGTGTCCTCCAGTCTGACCAGAACTGAAGAAGCAGCTTGGATGAACTGAGAAACGTCTTCAACCAAACTAACTTTTGTCCAATCGACAAACTGAATTTTCACCTCGCCATGGATTCTACCTGGACGACTCAGGAATTCTTCACACTTTTTTTTTTCCTTTTTTTATATATATTTTTATTGTCTATTTGTCCCCATTGTTTTTGAGGCACGAAAATCTTGATTTAAATTATGGTAGATTGGAAACAAACACAGTTGCCTACAACAAAACCAGAACTGAAAGTAGTTTTATTTTTTCTGGTACAATTACATTTTTGTTTACATCAGTTATATATGATTATGATTATGATTATGTTTGAATCAGGGTGAAGCTGACGAGTCCATTGTAACGTGAAAGGGGGATGTTTGACGGTTAAAATAGATTTGACAATCAGATTCTATTTTGGTGGTGTTTTCTTGTTTAAAAGTAAATTACTCTCATTTAATGTCATACTGAGTGAAAATCAAATTGCTCTGAGGCCTCGGCCATTAGAGGCAATTGGTTGGGGGCCCCTCCATGTTCGGGGGCCCTAAGCAACCGCCTACTTTTGCCTAATTGTAGCTCCGCCTCTGCAACTGGATCATTTCTTACGTAAAACTGGGATAAATCACTGGTTTTGGTTAAATCTGTTGGGACAGGGGACACAGAGCTCAACACTGGGACTGTCCTGGAGAAATAGAAACGTCTGGTCCCTCTACTCACACTGCCCTGTCCACTTTTAACGTAAATGCTTCTAAACTGCACGTTCTTTGTTGTGGCACTTCCGATTAAGTGGGAATCTGATTTATTTCAGTGGAGAATTTGAGAAATGTTACACAGCCAGCACCATGGAAAATAATTCAACCTAATTGGTGACAGCGGCAACCTCGGTGACCAATTCTTCCGGAAGAAAGTAAATAAGTCCTAGTGTCTCAAGCCAGTGCCATCAAATGTAAAAAAGAAAAAATAAGTTCCATCAAATGTAAAATGGCGTCTGGACGGAGCTGAAACATCTTGATCACAAACAATGCCCACATGATCACCGCTGCAACCTTCTCTACACTAAACTCCAAATAAAACTTTCCCAAATAACTTCAAGATTCTCCCAAACAAAAGTGCACAAAAACTAAATCATAAAACCCACCAAATAACAACAATATGCATTTTACTTTACAGTACAGCTTTTATTTTTCGGTTGCTGAGAGACATTTCACGTTGTATTATTCATTCACTTCATACTGTGGTGAAAAATTTGGACCGTTACCATGGCGATTAACAATTAAACTGTTCCTTCAAAGGTAGAAAGGTCTCAAAAAGTCCTTCAAAACAGGAATAAGTTGTATTTACAGGTGACATCAGGTCAGTTGCCATGTTGTGTGATAGAAGTACTTTTTTCTACAAACTGGTTATGTTGTTTATTCATGTATTTGTTCATGGGGATCATTTATTTTATTTGAATACATGTGTCATAAAGTATCTGTAAAAGTCTGTTCAAAATCGTCTGGAAACATAATGTGCTGAAAGAAACTGCTCCAAGTGGTAAATGGTGTTGTATTCTGAAGGTTTGGTGATCCAGTATAATGTATTTTGTTTTGTCCCTGTCCTGATCCAGTCTAAGGTGAAGCGATCCGGTTCTTCTGAGTCATTTGGATCGTTATGGCAAAAGACTCAGAGATGATCCTCTTTGCAACATACGGAAATAAAGACGTTCTTCATCCCAGTTTGTCTGGTTTGTTTGGTCAGTGCGTCTATAGAACATTATGTGTTTTCCACGTTAACTTGAAAACAGCAGATTTTAAATAATGACTTTGTTGCAATGTTTTAATGTGAATTAATGTGAATTTGAGTCATTTTCATATTCTGATCCATTGCCTGTTCCATTGCAAGTATATATTTCAATTACAGTGCACTTACAAATTATTTACATAAAAATTACATAAATAAAATACAAATTCTATAGCAAACATAGGAATAATATTTTTTTTTTATTGTAAAAAAAAATAAAAATTAAACATATAAAAATAAAAATAAAATGTGCTCTTCACATTCCATGGTGGTTGGTCTCTCACCCTCATTCAGCTCAGGTCCTCTACCAGAGGCCTGGGAGCTGGAGAGTTCTGTGCAGTATTTTTGCTCTTCCCAGTACTTCACTTTTCTGGACTGAGATGTCTGTAGTTTTTCCCCAGTATCTGCTGTAGTCTCTTCCAGTTTGGGGGTTACAGCCTCGAGTGCTCTGATCACCACAGGCACCACTGATGCCTTCACTTTCCAGACCTTCTCCAGCTCCTCCTTGAGCCCCTGGTATTTCTCTAGTTTCTCATGTTCCTTTTCCTTTTTCCTGATATTACCATCGCTTGGTACTGTGATGTCCATCACCACGGCTCTGCTCTGTTTCTTATTCACCACCACTGTCTGGTTGGTTCATCACTGTTCTGTCCGTCTGTATCTGGAAGTAGAATCAATAATTAAAATAATAATAAAATCAATACATAACAGCAGTACTAAAAAAAAAAATATAGGTAAAAACAATAAATATATAGAATTTTTTTGTGTCAGAGGCAGTTTACTCTTGTGTTGCAGTGATTTCTAAAACTAAAAATGAGCAATTCCTTCTTGAATCTATTAAATAGCAACTTCTGTTTCTTCTATTTTTCTGTTACTACTACATTTATTTTATTTTATTTTATTTTATATTTTTCCTCCCATAGGCCTATATCATTTAGGTTAATGCAATAAAAGCTATTGTTATGGAGAAAGACTTATAATCTATTCATTTGAGCAACAATCAGATCATAGGGAAAAACTAAATCACACTTGCACAGAATACACTGGATAAACATAATATAATATTAAGTAAATTACAATTTACTGATTAAGGATTAAAATTCCAAACTTTATAATCATCTCATCCAATCCACGTTATTTATATAATGTAGCACATTTCATAAACAAAAAAAGTTACCACGGTGCGCACAGTACAGATAAAAAATAGACCAATGTGCTATTATAGTGGAAAAAATACCCAAATACCGAAAAACATAACCCAGAAACCCCCTATTTTCACAAACCTGGCAACCCTGGCGATTACGTCAAAATCCGGCGACGCACGACCGGCGATTTCAGAAACAAACGTGACTTTTGACAGCTGTGGATTATTATCGGTGGATAACGTTGTGTTTATTCATTATCGCAGGGGAAAAGTTGACGTTTCTAAGCCGACATGACGACCTCCATGCCGCAGAAGAAGTTTTACAGACAGCGAGCTCACTCCAACCCCATGGCGCACCACGAGTTCGACTAGTGAGTCCAGTACATGTGTGCGACAACATCCAACGAGTTTAACCAGCACATTATATCAGCAATGATTTATTTTAAGGCATGGTTACAGGATCGTGCATGGGGAGATGGTAGATACTGGGTTGGCAGTGTTTGGATTACAATAACAAACGCTGAAATACAAGGCAGTTATCAAAAACACAAAACCATCAGTGTGACCAGACATCCCTATTTACCCAGGTCAGTCCCAGTTTTGAGTCCTGTGTCCCCTGTCCCAGAAGATTTATCCAAAACCAGTGATTTGGCCCAGTTTTATACAAGAAATGTCTCTGGCGTAACTATTTTTGACCAATCTGATCCCTGCCAACAGTAAAGAGAGTCATACATTGTCATTTGTTTAGGTAAAATACAGAAAAGCTGCTTAAAAATGACCAAAACACAAAGAAAATGTGACTATACTGAATCAAATGTTAGTCATGAATTGTCTCTGCGTAACAGTTTTCCTTAATTCTGCACTCGTTTCATAATTTTATTATTATCAGCCACCAAAAAAACAGGGATGTCCCAGTTTTTTATTTTGAAATTCTGGTCATCCTAACCGGGACAGTCCCAGTTTTGAGTCCTGTGTCCCTTGTCCCAGCAGATTTATACAAAACCAGTGATTTGTCTCCGTTTTATATGAGAAATGTCTCTATTTTTGTCCAGTTTGTTCTAAACCAGGACTACATCAGGTAGGGGTGTGCAAAAATATCAGAATATTGATATATCATATTGTTTAATGTGATGATACAGTATCGATATTGTGGGCTGCTGTATCGATATATCACTAAGAGTATTTTTTGGTGTATTTTACTAAATAATTTTTGTTACAGAGCTACAGTTTTGTTGTTTGTGCAGAGAACAGAAACTTTTGTATGCAGCAAATTTGACATTTTCACAGTTTTCATGATTAAAATGTTTGTGTTTCATATGAACTTTGCACAAGAAGTGGTTTAACTTTTAACATCACAGCCATGATTTAGCCTTTATTTTTTACTGATCCGTACTGAATCGATGTGAAATAAATAATATCGAATAGAAAGTTTACTGTATCGAGGTATGTATCGTATCGACAACTTCTTAATGATACCCAAACTTAACGCCAAGTCTAAACCCGGACTACATCAGGTCTAAACCCGGACTACATCAGGTCTAAACCCGGACTACATCAGGTCTAAACCCGGACTACATCAGGTCTAAAACCCGCACTACATCAGGTCTAAACCAGGACTACAACAGGTCTAAACCCGGACTACATCAGGTCTAAACTTGGACTAAAACAGGACTATCACAATTTTTAACTAAATCAGATCCTCCCCACCAGTAAGAGCAGAAATTGTCATTTGTTTTGCCAAAATACAGAAAACCGTGTTTAAGAAAGACCATAAAGCAAAACAGAAGTTCCTCAGACTGACATGAGAATGTACAATGTATGATGGGAATTATGTAATGAGTGGAGTGTGCAATATTTTATTGTTTGACCCCCTGTGACCCCAGCCCTTTGGGACAACAGATGGAAATTAGCCTTAGACTATAATCCTGTGTATTTACATTCATGTTGTGTCATGTTTGTTCATTAACATGCTCTGTCCCAATCAAATAAATAAATAAAATAAATAAAATGTAACACACTCTTTTCATAATTGTATTTATACTAACCATCCCAACCCGGGTGTGTCCCAGTTTAGAATTTTGAAACCCTAACCATGCTGATAATTGAAATGTTGAAGTAAATGGTCAATGCTGTTCATGGATTTCCAAAACAAATGTTTGCACTGTAGGCCTAATCATTTTTAGTGCTCAGAAAGTTCCTGTTTTATTTGTCTTAAAACTAATACAGCTTGTCAGATTGTCTGTGAACCTAAACAATAAATAAGATACAGATTTGAAATGGTTTTACTCTTATTCTTATTAATTGCATAATCCAATGTAAAAAATTAGGAAATACACTTGGTTGGATTAGACAGCATATTTGACTCTTATTTGATGTCTACCCATTTTTTTCTGTTTTCCTGTGCTTTAGTCCGGTGTGCCCAGAGGAGATGGACTGGGCTGAGCTGTATCCACACTTCTTCAAAGAGAACGCTTCAGATTCAGAGAAGACTCCAAAGGTGGAGTTTGCAGATATCGGCTGTGGATACGGAGGACTTTTAGGTTGGTAATTTACACGGGTATCTCTCAAAACGCACTTTAGCCCAGTTAGTTAGTTTAGTCAGTTAGTTAGTCCAGAACTCCACGGCACGAGTTTTAACAGGAACCAAAAAAACGAGAACATGTCACACCAATCCTTGCATCTTTGCATTGGTTTCCTGTTCGATTTAGAAGTGATTTTAAGATTGTATTGTTTGTTTTTAAAGCTTTGAATGGACGGGTCCCACGGTACGTCTCAGACCACATCCAGATTTACTCCCCCATGCATTCTCTGTGGTCCGAGGGCCAGTTCCAGCTCGTGGTGCCTAAAACGAGACTTAAAATCGGGGGGACAGGGCCTTCTCTGTGGTTGGCCCTAAACTCTGGAACACTCTATCCCCCCGTGTCCCAACAGCCCCAACAGTGGAGAGTTTTAAGTCTCATCTTAAGAAACCATTTTTACTCCCTGGCTTTTAACACTGCATGAGTTGTGTGCTCCTGTGTGTCTTTTATTTATCTTATTTTATTCATTGTTTTATCATTTTTAGCTTTATGCATTTTAACACTTTTTATTTATGATTGACTGTCTTTTATTGTTTTCATTTGTCTGTGCAGCACTTTGGAAACGGTCATGTTTATAAAACGTGCTGTAGAAATAAAGTGGATTGGATTGTGTTGGATTACTTACCTCTTTTTAGCATTACGATCATAGCCATAATATGCCTTCAGATGAATGCATTATTTAAACTACAGTTGTTTTGGTATGCATCAACATTTTTATCATTTATTCAATCACTTAGTGCACTTTGTAACTTTTCTGGTGTAAGGTTCGTTCTTTCTTTCTTCCTTTGCCCTACACTTGTAATGACAAAAGGCTCGTCAAAGCCTTATTCATTCACGTCATTCATTACTACCATTCATACATCTCATTGATGAATGTGAAGGTGGGTGAAGTGTCTTGCCTAAGGACATGTCAGAACTTGGTCCAGTTGATAATCCGTCTAATCTTGTTGTTGGGGGACCTCTGCTCTCACCACTGAGCTGCCACTTCTCGTCTCCATGGAGATGTTTGAGAGCAGAGGTCCATTAAACTTAGAAGCTCTGAATCACGGTAACATCATAATTACATAGTGTCACAGCAGCCACATCACAATTAGAATGTAATTAGCAGAGTGTGTCCATGTCACTTCGTCACTCCAGCCCTGCGGGATGTGCAAACTAAAATGCCGTTGTTCTCTTTGCAGTGGAGTTGTCCACGCTGTTCCCAGATCAGCTGATGTTGGGGATGGAGATCAGAGTCAAAGTGTCCGATTATGTCCGAGATCGGATCAAGGCTCTTCGAGAAGCTGAGCCCGGAAAGTACCAGAACATTGCCTGTATCCGCGGCAACGCCATGAAGTACCTGCCCAACTTCTTCACCAAAGGACAGGTCCGATTTACACAGAGTGCATCAAAACACTGGAGAAGGAATTTCATTTTAACATAAGAGAATATAGAACATGAAGTAAACCCGAATCTCACCCACAGACCGTCTATACTCAAGTGTACACAGCATCTCGATACAGTGCCCTTACGATTCAATATGATATATTTTAAAATTGATTCGATACAGTTCAATAAAAAATAAAGGCTAAATCGTGGCTGTGATACTAAAAGTCTTTGTTAAACCACTTCTTGTGCAAAATTAATATGAAAATAGCCCATTTTAATCATCAAAACTGTGAAAATGACAAATGTGTGACGCAAGAGTTTCCTTCTTCTAAAAAACATCAAACTGTAGCTCTGTAACTAAATAATTTAGTAAAGTACACCAAAAAATACTCTTGACGATATATCGATACGGCAGCCCATGATATAGATACTGTATTAGCAATACATTAAACAATACAATCTCTTGATATTTCGATATTTTTGCACACCCCTGCATGACGGTGTTAGGATTTTCTTATAGTCACAGTATAAAGTGTCAGTGTCAGTGGGGGTGTTCTACATGTACCTGTAAAGATGGAATGTTTAGGAGTTACCATGGTGACACATTGGCAAACACAGTCAAAAAAGTTTTAAGCTTGTTTGACTCAAGAAGAAAAAAAAATTCAGGCTCTGTGATTTTATTTTTTTTTATTTTTCTTTTTAAATCACTGAGCTCGTGATCATTACGACTGTTTAGGTTCTGTTCAGGAGTTTGATCTTCAACAAAAGTGAAAGTGACTAACTGAAATGGTTGGTAGGTAACTTGTGACTGTTATTTGAGGGACTTCTTGAACAGCACAGATCAGCTCACCTGTAGTTCCAGCCAAGTTACTTCTTTATGATCAGGTTGTTTTAAAACTAAATCTAACGTCTAACCAGAGTAACAGAGCTTCTAACAGAGCAGTGCATTCAGTTAACTTCACACTCCCAGGGAATGTTGATGATGTGAGCATTACCGATTGAGCAGAAAGCGTGAGGGCCAGTGAAGATTGGTCTGAGGTCTGCATTAGGCCCCAAGCCCATGGTCTGGAAACCCTGATAATAGAACTGGAGCTATCCAATGAATCAAATTTCAATTACAATCACGTTTATTGCTCTAATTCTGTAATTTAGTAACCGCTTCTCTCTACGCAAATAAACACTGGAATAATTGGCATTTCAGCTATGATTTAAATAATCATGGCTATTTATTTGTGCAGGTGAAGATCAGGCAGTTTTTCTTGACTTCACGCGATGCTTTGATTTGCCTCTTTTAGTGCTTTAACTAAAGTCATGTAATTCTTGTCCCATTTGCCTTTAAGTTGTTTGTTAAACATTGTGTTGTGTAGTTTTTAATGATATTATTTTTCTCTATAAATGGGCAGCTCTCTAATTTTAGGTGATACACTTTTAAAGGCATCAATAATATAACAGCTTTATAGTTACTCCCTTATTGCGTGTGTAAGAGCTCGTAAGCTCTCAAAACTATTCTGTATCTCTGCGTATCTGACCCAAACGGCACTCACAAGACTACACCTGCAGGCGGAACACATGCAAACACTACTATTTATGCAGAAAAAGTACTAGAAAGACAGATGAAACTTGTGAATCAGGAGTTTAATCTGCATTTTTACAGGTAAATACCAAAAAATACCAAATGTTCAGCTAAAGGCCGCCTGATTTAGGCTACAGTTTTCTTCTCCCTGAGTTCAGGGGGGCGTGATCCGACTTTGTGTCTTGTGTCTCGTGACATGTGCGATTTTGAAGCCGCTGCGCTCCTCGTGTGTGTGCCTGTGTGTGTGCCTGTGCGTGTGTGTGCACGTGTGCTCCTCGTGTGTGTGCGCTCCTCATGTGTGTGTGCATGTGTGCGTGTATGCATTTTGTGCGTGTGCTCCTCGTGTGTGTGTGCTCCTCGTGTGTAGTGTCACTGTCAGCTCGTAACCACTAAACATCAGCAATGCTACGGCAACAGCCAATAAAACACAGCGTCAGGCACAGAGGAGTGACGGACATGAAAATATAAAATAGCGAAAATAATGAGAAGACTTTATTAGTCACCTCTCGTAAAGTGGTAAATTTAAATTAAAGCAACTCATTCACATTATCCATAGAAATTGTCCTCCGCAAATTATGACGTCCAGTCCACAAAAGCACAGTATTAATCCAGTTTGAGGCATTCTTTAAAAGTAAAACCGCAAGATAGTTCTTTATGTTTGTCTGTTTACATCCACACAGCGCACGGATTGAGGTGAAGCTGCAGATTCATGATAGTGACTCTACTTCCTGTGGACTTTATCACTAGCCTTTTATGCATCAAAACTCATGTATCTGAAGTATTGCAGCACATTTCACAAATAATAATAACACAGTTTTGACTTGTATCTAAACTAGAAGTGCAGAGCTCTAATCTTTTGAACACTTAAAGTGTCTCAGAGCAAGTGGTTTTAATGTAGACAGGAAATAGCTGATGCGATCGCACTCACAACTTTATATCCTGTGGTCTGCTGACAGATCCCACTGCAGTCTTTGTGATCAGAGATTTGAAGTGTCATAAGATTCTTGTCGTGTCTGTAGTGTGCGCTTTTTGTCACATGTTTATAAGTTGTTTAAGACCAAAAAATCGTGTAGTGCAGACATGTCAAACTCAGGCCCGGGGGCCAAATTTTGCCTGCGATACAATTATATTTGGGTTAGAGCTGCCTACTGGATACAGATAGACTTTATTTGAAATTGTGTTATTATTTTATGTTTTGCTTGTTCTGGATTCAGTGTTTAAGCAAAACTATAATTAAACATTTATTTTAATAAGAAAAGGTTTAATATTACATCTCTAAAGAAGAGAAAACTTGCAGATGTTGTTGAAATTTTTCAATAAATATTTAGTTTGGCCCTCGACTTAGTCCCAGTTTTTGATTTTGGCCTCTGTGAATGTGAGTTTGACAAACTGCTGTAGTGTGCAGCAGCCTTATTCACTCTTTTCTGCCGTTGTCCCACATGAGTCCTTATAATTTAAACAAAATGATAAGTTGACTGGTATAAATTTTGGTCGACTAACACCATCATCAACTTAATTGATTACTGTGATTTCTTGTCCAGGATCCCCCCTTGCGCCCCAAGTCTCCAAACCCCAGTCCTCCCATGAACCTTGGGCTAAACTTGAGGGTGAAGCGAGGTCTTCCACCTTAAGCCCCTCACTAAACCTTAATGCATTACAGTACATGTCAGCTCCATAATCCTCCACATATGTGATGTTTATGGAGCTTTTTCACCCCATGGCTCTAATAACTTTAAACAAAAACTCACTGATTTCTCTCCCTTAAGTATCTCCATGACAAGCCCATCCATCACTACCTGCATATTTCGTACGCCTAATGCCAATTCATAATACTTCCATATTTTCTTTTTACAGTAGAGCTCTATAATGTTACATACAAGCCCCCTTCCACTTCAAACTGTACATGGCAAGCTTCCCAGATCTAAATGAAAAATGCATGCTTGGTTGATCCTTATACGGGTAATTTTAGGTAATTTATTTCAAGCCTGGCTTTTGAAATGAGCCCTACACATTAAGGTAAACATATAAACTAATCCCTGTTCTTGTACAATGGACCCGCAGTTCAGTAATTGCTCATTAAACGTTACCTTTTATAACCTTAAATTAGGCTTAACCCCAAAATCCAAGGCCGTGCCAAGTTTTCCGAGCACTTCCCCCATTATATTTTACATATGGCACGGATTAATTTTAAAGGAATGCTTAATAAATCGAGAAATACATTCGCACAAAAGCGCCATTGACGGGTACGCGCAGCTTTGCATAGCCCGTTAGCCAATTAGCAGCGGTAATCTTTTGACTTCGGTAGATTACATCGCGTGGACTGAACCGGGGTCAAGTTGGGCATTGAAGTTCACCTCAAGTAGCCCAGCGCGGGGAGATGAAGTAGTAAAAGTACACAAGGGAGTGATTACTGTACCCATGACGTGTTTAAGCCATACATTATATAGATGTTTTTTAATCGAATAAGGCCCTTTATTTGTACAGCATGTGCACAGGCAGCGGGCCAAGTCGAGCAGCTTTCCAGATGCACGGAGCCGAGACCGGACAAAAGTGTGTAAAAGTGCTGTTATTTCAGGTCACTCTATTAAAGTACGTTTTTACTTTACATTGAAAAATGTACACTGATTATTTGAGCAATTGCTGACTCTACAGTTCATAGGGTGGCCAGATTTTCAAAATAAAATACTGGGACATGCCTGGTTTGGGTTGGTTGGTAATAATACAATTGTGAAACGAGTAATTACGTAATTAAGAAAAACTGTTACGCACTCGGCACCAATGTGAGTCAGTATAGTCACATTTTCTTTGTGTTTTGGTCATTTTTAAGCAGCTTTTCTATATTTTACAAGTAACAATGTGTGCCTCTTTTTACTGTTGGTGGGTATCAAACTGGCCAAAAATAGGGACACATTACAGAGTCCTGCACCGGGTCTGGAACTTTAAAACTGTGAACGTTCTGGAATTTTTTTCTCAAACAATGATGGTTATATGTAGGGAGCTGTATTCAAACCGCAGACAAATGCTTTACAACTGAGCTACTGTCAACCTGTTATCAATAAACTCTGTCATCACAAAGGAGACACATTTATGGTCAGATCTATGGAGAAGCAAGCCTGCACACAGTAAGAACTTCTGTTTTTGAGCTATAAAACACCCGTAATTGAATAAATGCGAGGCAGACATGTAGCGTGGAACATTCCATGCAAAGAAAAGAAAAGAAAAGAAAAGCAGTGTTTATTATTCAATATGGCATAAATGGTTTGAATATCGTAATGAAATCTAGTTGGTTTGTGCTGCTCTATTTAAGCACGCATGCAACTGTGTATCATTCCAGAGACATATTTTCATGCAAATGCGTGCTAAATACTTTGCCAACTGTGCTTGTGTTTGTTCTACTATTGAGGAAAACCTTCCATAGACATAAAGTAACCAAAAAAAAAACCCCTATGTACATTTACATAGAAGTTTACAAAAGAAACCAGAATTTTACAAAAGTTACGAAACCCCAGTACGAAACCCCAGTACGAAACCCAAGACTAAAGACTAAATGAAACCCAGGACGAAACCCCAGGACGAAACCCCAGGACGAAACCCCAGGACGAAACCCCAGTACGGAACCCAAGACTAAAGACTAAATGAAACCCAGGACGAAACCCCAGTACGAAACCCCAGTACAAAACCCCAGTATGAAACCCAGTACGAAACCCAAGACTAAAGACTAGATGAAACCCAGGACGGAAACCCAGAACGGAAACCCCAGGGCGAAACCTCAAGACTAAACCCAGGACGAAACCAGCACAAAAATAGGACAGAACCAGGACTGAAACCGATGCAAATCAGACTAGGGAAACACCCCAAGAGATTTATAAGGTATCAGTTCATCACAGATTAACAGACACCTTTACAGTTTGTCTGTATAACTTTACGTATCTACTGTAGTGTTGAGTTTGACCCAACTGTGTTCATGACCCGTTTTTATAAGCAGGGAAGTGGTCGCCCACCCAGCACAGTGTCCTAATGTATTTCCAATGCGTCTTCTTCCTTACATGCATGGACTGTTGAACCAGCCCTTTCTCAAACTTAAAAAAATATAGCTTTTTCTTCACAAAATCATCTTTAAGTAAAGGATTTTCCACTTTCTAACTGCTCCCCTCGGGCTGTAGTCTTCCCTAGTGATTAGACCATATCTTTCTGTCTATTCCTGACATTATTTATTTAAGCTAGTAAAAAACCTACAGCTTGGGGCGTTTAATGTAATAGCCAGGCTACTATCACTGGGGCCTGCTCCCGTGCACTTGTCGATGTATGGAAACTTTACGGGGGAAAAGTCTTGGAGGGATTTTCCGACCACTGCAGAGCGATGACATTTTAAAAGGTGGAATATGTCACTTTTCTGATGGGGGGTCTGCTACCTGCTTGTCTCCATGTGGATGTTATTGCTTTATAGACTTGTCAAAAGTATCAAATATGAAAGAAAGTACAATGATATACTGTTGAAAATAACATTCTAATGTCTAAAGATTGTTTTTTATTATCGTCGTGGTATCGGAATCTGTATTGGGGTCAAGCAGAAGTAAACAACAAGGCCAAAAATTCAAGTTAATGCATCTGATATAAAAATGTATTCAACAGATACATATGTACTCTAGTTTATGAAACTGTTTACCTTTTTTCTGTACCATTTTTGGTTCTAAAGTTACATACGTTTTAAACAGACCATGTATGAAACATGGAACAAAAATTATTTCTCAAATTTCAAAGACCTGCAAATCATGTAAATAAATGGATGTATTTCATCATATCTTGTGTTATTATATTTGAACTGTTGATGAAGGTACATGATTAAAAAATAAATAAATGTATTTAAAATGATAAAAATTTGCTTGGAAGGACTGACATATTTTATAGAAATAGTTTCCTTTCATTTTGAAGTAATATTAAAGTATTGGAAAGAAAAAATCATGCACCTTCTACTTGCTTGAACAATTTTTCCTCCGTTACCATGACCTTTCTTAATAAAAAATCTCATGACTCAAAAAGTAAGAGGTTTTTCAACCTAATCTTGTACCATATGGTAGAAAACTATATGAAGCAAATATTCAAACCAGTTTGTTAAGGATATGTAAGTGAGAACCGCTAGTTATCACTGTTTGTATTTATTGCCCAAAAAGTGCTGCATATTTCATTCCCTCCGTTACCAACATGAGTTTTAAAATTTTTGGCAAAAACTTGAAAGAATATCACAGGTTTAACTTTACCCTGTTGGAGTGTTAACTCTTTCCTACATTCTAATACCTTACTTATTTCAATAGTCCCTCTAGTTTCTGAATAAGAGCTATTTGAATGTAAAAAATCTGCCCCTGTTTCCCTTCATTACAGCTTGACCGGACAAATTGAGTATCAAGATTCCGGTGACACTTTAGTTTAGGGACCACATATTAATCGCTAACTAAGTGGTAATTTATATGCTTATTTGCTCTTACTTAGCTATTAGTTGGTATTTATCAAACACTTATTAAAGCTTATTAAGATTTCAGACTCAAAAACATCTATTGTAATCTCCAACAGTTCATGGCTTAATACTTACAAAATACATCCTTAGGCAAAAATGCATCGAAATTACTTTATAAATACTAACAGTGTTATGCAAGTTCACACTTTTCATGAACTAGTTCAAAATTCAGTTCACACATTTTCAAAGTGAACTGTTCATGTTCATAGTTCATAAATTTAATTCTGAACTAGTTCAAAGTTCAGTTAATTTTATTTTTAGGTGAGATATGTAAATGAAAGGCTGAACTTATTTTTCAAACTAACTTATGACTAAACGGTGCATATATCACGTTGGAGATGGTTCATGTTTTCAGAGATCAGACGTGTGCAGGTCAAGCTCAGCTCTTTAGTTCAGTCATTTCACTCAATTTATTTATGTTGTGATGAAAAGACTGAAAATTGTTTGTGTTTTGGACGCATGTGCACTCAACTTTATGTTGCAGTAACCAGGATACTGTGTTTACATGCACCATGACGAAATCAGGATACTCAAAAAACCTGATCATACCCAGGACACTGATGTGCATGTAAGAGCATTCAGTGAGTGGTACAGTGATCTCTAAGGAGGTGCCTGAGCTGAAATGTGGGACCGTGAGGCTGCAACTCTAGTGTTTGCTCTGTCAGATGCTGCCTCGTCTCACACAGCAACCTACATTCAGTTTGTCGATTAAAAATGAACGTGATTGATGAAATTGTTAACGATTGATTAGTCGACTAATCATGCCCATCCTTACTTCACACTACATTACCCAAGATGCATTGCACACACAAGCGCAAGTGAGTAACAGCGCAACATGCAGTTTAAAAAGTGCGGGCAGACTTTTTCACTCGACTCAACAGGTAAAAACTAATTCCAATGTTTAATTGAAGCCCAACAGTGATGTCGTTCATCTCACGTAATCTGAACAAATTCAGGTTCAAGTTCTTGATTTACAAATGGGTTGCATTCAGTTCAAAGTTCACTGAAAAATGAATGTGTTCAATGAACTTATTCATGTACAACACTGCTAAACATATGTAATTAAGCACTTATTATGCATTTGTCTGTTAGCTAGCTGTTAAGAAGTGGTCCCTAAACTAAAGTGTTACCAAAATTTCTTAGGATGGAAATTATTTGAAATGTTTATGTGTTAAGTTGTCACACTATTTACCAGAAATGTTCCACAGTATGGCATTACACGTATTTATATTGTATTTATTCAGTTACATGTGTTACTTATGTCTAAAAAATACCTCCAGAGAACACTGTAACTTTGCCTGATGGTGTCACACACTTGTTTCCATGGAGATGAGTTTAATGACACTCGGACCTGCAAAAAAAATGCATAACAATCCTTTTAAAGTGCTTTTTATTGGTTAAAAATAGAAGGTTTGTGTTTTCAGATGCTGTGCTGCTTTGACAGTTTCTTTTTTTTTTTTTTTTTTATGTCTTACAGCTCAGCAAGATGTTTTTCCTGTTTCCGGATCCACATTTTAAGAAGAACAAGCACAAATGGAGAATCATCAGCCCCACTCTGTTGGCTGAATACGCGTACACTTTGAGAATTGGGGTACGTATATGTTCTGTTTTTTGTGTGTCCAGGTCATAGACTGTATATAAATGGATATAGTGTTCCAAATATTGCTCTTCTGGCTCCATCAACTCCATTTGACTTTATGTTCATATTAACATGCTGTACTTGATCCTGGTGTTTTTATTTTGCTATTTTGTCCATAAATAAATTCCTTTTCCTAATGTGGAACTTGTTTTTAATTCGCTCCAGGGGTTTCAAAATGGCCACCCATTTAAGTCAATGGGCCGAGCTCAATGGTGCATGATTCCAGATTCGCCTTTAGCCCGGCGAGAGACTTCCGGTGGCTGTGGGCCAACCGAGCATGCGCAGTAGTGCTCTTTTCTCACGCGGACACACGCCAATGCACGTGAGCGCATGCACGGAGCGCAGTCTCATGTATCACGCTATCACTTTGACCAATCATAGCGAGAGGAGCGAGAGCAGAGCAAAGCCGGAGCTAACAATTTTATAAAGCATTTTTTAAGACAACTGAAGGATTTTGATATAAAAATAGGTAAAAATTGACACAAAATTCAACATTTTTGAAAGTTGTAGGTGCCCTGTCAGCCGAACACCCTATCCAGTTATTTTAATAGATCCATGATTCGCTTCTATGTCTGCTAGCCTCATGAGCTTCATTTGCCTAGAGCCAAACACTGTGGGAGATGTCACACTCCCTTAGCCCACTTCTTTATTCAGTCTATGGTCACGGTACACTATTTGTGGGCAGATGCAATGGCACACCACTCACTAAAAAGGATTTTTTCAGAAATGGCCACAAGGTTTTAGCTATATTATTGGTACTGTGTAAAGATGAATAGATATTTTAGTAGTCAACTAGTCGACTAGATAGATTCGACTATTGGACTAGTAAACGCAAATGTAATGTAAATTTAGATTTAAAAAAAAAGTTGTTACCCAAATAAAGGTCAAAATATGTTGACAGGCAGCTTCAAAGGAGTTTATTAATTGCAGCCGCCCTATAGTTGACTCTAAAAATAATCACAGTTGTATGTTGATGATTGTAATCTGATTCCTCCAGGTTCAGCTCAGAACACACGTCTCTATAGCTGCTCTACTGTAAGATCCAATCCTCAGACAGTTTGAAGTGAATGAGCCTGAGACCACTTGAGTTCTGTGCTCTAACACTTGAGAAGAGCAGATTAACAACACGATTAGAGTCTAAACAGTTCTCACACAGCCACAAATCAGCTCAATATCCATTAACCTACAGCCACAGTAAATCTGCAGCTCCAGTGTCCTTAGACTCAGGTCAGGAATTACACACACCCACAATGCACACAATTAACTCCTTATTGAACCGTAAAAAGAAGTGTGCTGTGCAAATGAGAAGATTTTTTGTTTTTTTTAATCCACTGTGTTGAAAGAAGATTTAATCTTGTATTCAAATTTGCCTGGTATTTAGTGAAAAATTATCACACATACAATTTATCGTCATTATTTGTAAATGATGATAGTTATGACATTTAAGGAACTGTATGTAGCCTGTACTCTTACAGACTCAAAAAAAGGTAAAAAAAAAGAAGTCCCAACTGACCTTGCCTTAACCTGCTGATATAGGACACATACAAGTTCATTCTCTGTTTATGTTCAGGCCTCATGTGAAAGCTCAGAACCTCCAGAATTCCCTCCCTGAGCTGCAGAGGCTGCACTAGCACTGACTCATTGACTGTAGGTGCTGGGGTTTAGGTAGTGACCGTTCAGATCAGAGAGAGGCATTGTTTGTTAATTTGAGAGTCATTTTAACACAATCTGACCATAATGACTTTAACCACAGCAGGAGCCCTGATTTGTGCTGTTAAACAAATCAGGAACGCTTGTATTGACCATAGACTCCTGAAAATGTTTTTTTCATGAAGGGGACAATGAGTGGAGGATGAGAGTGAAGGGGACGATGCGAGGATCGACTTCACACTAGGACTACTGCTGTTAGGGAATTTCTCCTGCGGTGCGATATAGTGGCTCAACAGCGCGGTATGTGGTGTTACCGCACGCCCTCCCCCACCCCACATCCTCCGGAGTGACAATATTTCTAGCTCTGAAAACTCTCCCCAATGATGCGCTTGTTGTGCAGATGCACATGTACCTTGGTTCTTGTGTGTATATAGCATGTGTAGCGTGGGAGAAGTAACATTTGGCTTTGGAACAAGTGCCGCTGCATCTCTCCAGCTCTCACTGTGGCAGCTCGGGTCAGAGTCCTGGACTGGCTAAGGTACCTGCGGACTTAAGAGAGAGAGCCCCTAGCACGAGCACGCAATCGGGTGACGGTCGCATTTAAATCCACGGCTGAGTGGAGCTCTGCGCCGGTCCTTTCGCCTACGGTCACCTGACGTCTTTGCGGGTGCACCTTAGTCCTGGGTTAGTCCTGGGTTAGTCCTGGGTTAGTTCTGGATTATCACGAGCATGGGCGGTAACGGGTGAAACGTCTGGGTGGGTGTGGGTCTCTAAAAATGGACCTGCGCAGGACTCTGGATCGGGTCACGTGGTCACGTGCTGTGATCGCGGTGGCCCAACATGCACCGCGGTGGACCTCTTAGTACCGCGGTTATTGTGACAGCCCTATTTCACACTTCTCATCCTCTCGTCGTCCCCTTCACTCTCTTCATCCTCTTGTCGCCCCCTTCCCTCTCCTCATCCTCTCATTGTCCCCTTCACTCTCTTCATCCTCTCATCGTCCCCGTCGCTCTCTTCACCCTCCCATCTCCTAAATGTCATTTAATCAGCCACTCCTTCATCGCGGTGTCTTCTGCCAGGATCTGAGCACCAAAACTAACTCACTATCGTTCAAAAACATCTAATACTTTCTGCGTGTTTGTGCCAGAGTCTCCCCGGGTTGAAACATGTCTGGATTTAGTGAGCAGGGCTTTACGTGCAGACTGTGGCCGCTGAATGTGTGTCAGCATCAGTTTTCTGTGAATCCTGATTCTAGTGAAGTTATCAGCAGTACTAAAGTAAACTTCAGAGCGCAGGTCACTGGCCTCTGTGGCTCTGGATATTTTTATCTCTGTCCTCGCGCTTTGCTCTGTGGAGGTGGTGACATGGGCAGAACACGTTGGAACTTTTGACACAATTTAAAGAGAATTGACCAAAAAACCTGGTATAATGTGTAATGATTGACGGTGATGTTTGGTGAGTAAATATGGTTTTGTCTGGGCATGCAGGGGCTGGTTTACACGAACACAGACGTGGAGGAGGTGCATCTCTGGATGGTCAAACATTTCACCGAACACCCGCTGTTCACCAGAGTCTCAGAGGAGGACCTGGTATGTAAAGGATGTGAAATGTTAAATGTCAGTTGTTAAAGGGATGGGTGATGAACAAAAAATAAATAGATTCTTATAATACAGTTATAGAAATGGGAATAGCAACAATATTGAGATTCATATTGTTTTCTTTTATTAAACTTAACCAATTTGTGGAAAGAAATATGATTGTAGGATACATCTAGAGCTCACTGACAAAAATAGCCCATGAGCATATTAATATTATGTCCCAAATCCTGGGATACAACTGTCTTATAACTTAGGTCTACAAGTGTATTATATTGTATTAATATATTCTCTTAAAATCATGCCCAAATAGTTGCTTTTCTTCATTCTCAGTATATTGACAGCATATATTGCAGCTGCAGAGGCTGTACCAGCACTGATTCATGATTGGTGCAGGTGCTGGGGTTGAGGTAGAGACCATTCAGATCAGAGAGACATTTTAGGTTTAAACCAACTGGATTTCAGTATTTAAACTGGCAACTCAAATGAACAACTCATGTGAGGTTCATTCTGCTTTCTGATCAGATAAACAAACAACATGTCTAATGTTTTTATAATTGTAAATAAATCAGCTTAAAACTGTTCATTTATTAATGAATTGAACATGTCTACCTCAGGGACACACAGTTGTGTTTTGTTATATGTATGTATTTTAAAATCCTTTTTTACAAAGTTCTGTATTTGCTCTCCACAAACATTTCAATGTCATTGTACTCTCTTTTTGTGAAGGCTGATGACATCATCGTGGGTCGCCTGGGCACCTGTACAGAGGAGGGCAAGAAGGTGCTGAGAAACGGAGGAAAAAACTACCTCGCCGTTTTCAGACGAGTCCAGGATCCAAACCAGGATCTAAACTAAGGATTCTTAAGTTCTGTACCACTGACATGTTGTATTATAATGTAAAATCATGTGTACATATTTTCTATATTTCCACTTTTTTATTCACAATATTTGCTGCTTTATGAGCAAATAGTTTGCTTAAATCTTAAGAGTAATAGTTTTTGTTAAATATAAAAAGCCTATCCAAAAATAAAACGCAACAAAATAAAGTGGGTTTGAAATCCTCTCAAAACTTCATTCTAATTCTTTTTCATCAATTTTAAAGCAGACCTAATATGCAGAGTCAACCTTTCAGAGCTTTTAACTATGTTGTATTGTTTGCCTTTCTCATTTATCCTCTCAAAGCTGTATTTGGAGTCATATCTGCATGTTTGAGGAGTCTTTAATCACAAATTTTGCAGGGATGCACCAATACCGAATCAGGAATTGTTTCATAATATCGGTTAAGTTGTTATCCAGGTTGGGCCTTTAACTGATTTTGGCCCAGAACTTTTATTCATATAAAATTTTTCTATAGTGATATGAAAAATAAAAGTTACATAACACAGTTGTATTTCTTGTGTTATAAGTTAACTGTGTTTTAAATAAATGCCATTTTCTGTCCCTACACTGGTATCGGTTAATATTGGGCACTGGCAGATATGTGAAGCCAAAGTATTGATATCGGTATCAGAACTGAAAAAAAAAAAAACTGGATCGGTGCATTCCTAGAATTTTCCAAACATCATATTGCTCATCAGCCCGTGTTTTCATCTTCACCAGCACACACTCAGAGCTCTCTACTTCGTTCTCCAATCTTATTTTCTTGATCAGTGAAACGTGTACGATTTAGCAGCATCGTATTGTCATTTTGGTACAACTGAAAAAAAATCCACTTCTCGCTGGTGTGATGTGCAGCTGTCCACAAGAGTTGCAGTGTTTTTGTTTTGATGATGTTTACAGAGACGTCAGCTCCCTCTGGGAACCAGAGTTTCCCAATACAGAAGACAGCAGACTTGTTTTTTTTATTAAGTTGTCTTGCATGAATGTTGTGAGTTAAACTGTGCAAATAACATAATGATCCATGGGTGTCATAAATTATAAATCTATAACAGACACAAGCACAAAATGTCTTCACACTATTGTAGGTACATAAAACATGTACGTTAATTGAGTCTAGTCACACACTTGAGCATTAATTAGTCCTGCATAGCCTTGTTTTGATCAATTATAATTTTTTATTTGATTTGAATAGGTGGATGGAGACATTACTTGTATAGGGCGCTGTATTCTCCTTCCCACGTTCATGTTAGATTTATAGATTTGTGGAGCTTTGGTTTTACAGTTGTATTTAGTGAGGCGGAGGACAGGATGGAGCAGGTCTGAGGCGCTGCAGGGCACAGACACAGGGAATAACTCTTCAAGCGTTTAGAATCTGTGGAGGAGCTGAAGTCTCCTGATAAGGGAATGTTTAACAAGACATTTCATGCTTTTTAGGATTTAGTAATCAACTATAACCTCCATAGATCAATATTTTTTATCATAAATGGTAATATTGATCTTCCACTGACTTCCTCTTAAGAACCGCAGGACTGAATTTTCTTCATAGACATATGTCTCTGTCGCCAGCAGTGAATTTTCATTGACTTTGGAGATGTACACAGACTCATAATGCAGGATTACTCAACCATGTGTGAATGAATCAAAGGACAACTCCAGGTCTGTTTTTGATGAAGTAACAACATTCTAACATGACTTAAAGCTCAGAAGAGTCCATTCTGTGTAATATAAGAGCTTTAGTCCTATATTAGAAAGTCTAACTTCTCCCAGTTTTAACATATAACACCCCCCTATACGATTTATTTGAGGGAATGCATTCTCTGAAAATGCTGAAATCCTGCTTCTGAAATTGTCCAACATGTTTTGATTTTGGCTTTAGCAGCAAAGCCCCATGAGTCATCTTTTGAACATCATTTTAGCACCAAAACAACATCAAACTCTTGGCTCTAGGCGTTCGGAACCGTCATCATCTCCTGCAATACAGATGCTGCGTTTAGCTTCATGACAGAAGTTGGCGTCAGATCACGGCGTGGGCTCGTTATTGGGGTCAAAGGTTAATCTGATGTTTACAGAGGCAGCAGCTCTTTGTGTGTAAACATAACCCCCCCCCCCCCAAAAAAAAAACATTTACAGTTTAATTCTGTAATCCAGGCACGATCAGAGTCCGTATAGAGCTGTTACATCGAAGGAACAAATCACTGTTTTAGTCGGATTAGAACAGGAATTTCAAATGTGTAAACATCGTCAGCACAACAGAGGGACAGCTCAAGATTGGCAGTTTGCAAATTAAAGTCATTCTACCTGATTTTTTTCCATGTATTTGAGCAAAATGTGTCTTGCTGCAATACGGATATATTCTATAAGCAGCTCTTGAGAGAAAATAAGACCACAGTGTTCTGGCTGCATCTATAAAGCACTTTAATCTCCGATAATCAGGAAGTGCACTGTTAGCAGGCTTGTTGCTGTTGCTTTACTGCGATGGTAAACTCTTAATTAGGATGCAGAATGTGTGAAATTAAGTGAGGGATAACACTGGACCACAGCAAACAGTTTCAAATGAACTGATTTTGCTTGTCACGTGTTTAAGATGGTAAAAGGTACGATGCATTTTCATGAAATAAAGTCACATTTGTCAGTGAATCCTGGGCTGCCAGTGCTAAACCTGCACATAGAGGACACATACATTACTCACTAGGCTGCACAGGCTTCACTAACACTCATTCATGACTGGCTGTAGGTCAGGGGTCACCAAACATTTTTCTCTGGGGGCCACATTGTTGCTCCTGACTGTGATGGGGGCTGGGGTCGTGTCGACCATATAACAGAATTTTTTGACCCTGACGATGCAGATTATATTCTTTAAAAACCACCACACTTTCTTTACATATAAGACAAACTGCTCGGTCCTTAAACTGAACAAAAACATAAGCGGTTGTCCACTGTTCTTTGAAAACTCGGCACTCTCTGACAACTTTGCGTACTTAACACGAGACATTTTGCTGTCCTTAACTACACTACAGAACTCTGCTCAGCTGTCACTGTTTGATTTCAAACTTGTCAGGTGACAAAAATTCTGCAGCAAATTCTGCAGCAAATGTAAATATGTCATATAATTATTTAAATAATATAAATACTTCATATTAATATAATTTTTAATAGAAAAAAATCTACAAAATACATGATGCAGGCATGTTATTATTTGCCAAAAAGTAATTTTAAAAAATAGGTCATGACAACCTTTGAAAATCTGTGTATCATTCGTTCATTTGTGTTTCAAAATAAAAACGAAAATAAGAAAACAAAAAAAAACAAAACAAAACAGTCGTCATTATTTGACTCCAAAAAAAAAAAAAAAAAAAAAAAAAAAAAAAAGAAAAAACAGATAACGATTTGTTTTTTTCAGTTTTTGATTTTGTGTTTAAATGAATAATGGAAAAAACTTTTTCCCATTTCCGTGATTTAAACTGCAATGCTGGACCGCAAACAGACTGAACAAGGCGTGAGACTGGGACCAGACCAGGACTGACACCGGGATCTGGTTTAGTCCTGGTTCAGTCCTGGTTCAGTTCTGGTTCAGTCATGGTTGAGTCCTGGTTGAGTCATGGTTTAGACCTGATTTAGTCATGGTTTAGTCCTAGTGTAGTCCTGTTTTAGTCCTAGAATCAGTTCTGGTTTAGTCTTGGTCCTGGTCTGGTCCCGGTCTCAGTCCTGATCAGTCTACAGGGGCGCACCCCCGGGCCCGTCCCAACACTCCTGGTTCAGTCCATATGCGGCGCAAAAGTTCAGCATCACAGTTTAAGTCACAGAAACGGGAAACAGCCATTATCTGTTTTTTTAATTGATTCATTTAAACACAAAAAACACAAAATCAAAAACTGAAAAAAAGAAGAATCGTAATCCATTTTTCATTTTGGAGACAAATAATGAAGAAAATAGTTGTTTTTTCGTTTTCTTATTTTTGGTTTTATTTTGAAAAACAAATGAACGAATGATACACATATTTTTGAGGATTGCCTCATAGTGCCAGTTCAAGTGGTGGGGGGCAGAGGGGCTGGGGGGCTGGTCAAAGGGGCCTGAAACTGACAACACAAATGAGAGAGTCATGTGAGGCTCATTCTGCTTTCTGATTGGATAATAATCTTGAGAACCAAAACTCAAACTTATGCATCATGTCATCATGTCCAATTTTTGATTAAGAATAGATCAGCTTTACACTTGTTATAGTGCAGGAGTCTCCAACCTGTAGCTCAGGAGCCACCAGTAGCTCTCTACCTCCTTCTAAGTCGCTCACCAAGGGATTTCTGAATTCTATGTATTGTAGATAATAAGTAAAATTTGATTAATTACCATTGTTAATGTATTAATTTGATGCCTAACTTGGTGCACCAATGAATGGATAATGGTTTATGTTTTATACTAGGGTGACCAAACGTCCGTTTTTCATCCGGGTTTTTTTTTTATAAAGTGATGCAAATGTCCGGGTTTTCAGTACCGTTCATTGGGGGCATTAAACTGAGCGTCTCTCGTAGCGTCTGTGACTCAGAAGGAGCGAGACACAAACAGTCGTTCAGTCTGCAACATACCGAAGCACAAATGCGCATTTAACAATGACTTGTACAAGAAATTCTCCATTTTCCGTCCCGGTCGGGACAAGTGGGAGGTCATGTGCACAGGTTGGGAGGTGAGAGTACAGTGTCCCTCGTTTATCGCGGGGGTTACGTTCTAAAAATAACCTGCGATAGGTGAAATCCGCGAAGTATCAACTTTATATTTTACAATGATTCTTTCTGTGTTAAGGCCGTAAAACCCTCACCACAAACTTTATACACTTTTCTCAGACAGGACAGGTGCAACCCTTTTTACTTCCTTCTTAAAACTTATTGCTGCTGTCGTCCTTGTGTTATTTTCCTCCTTCTTTATGTAACAAACTGAAGATTAATTTATTCCGTAATGGAGCCTACAGCGCAGAGTCCTGCACGGATCCATTTTTGGAGACCCCCAGTACAACAACGCAACCGTGCAGTACAGGACCGCACCTGCCCGTTAACCCGAGATTATATCAAACTTTTGCGCTGCCTACGCCACAGACTGAACCAAGACTAAACCAGGACTAACCCAGGACTGATTCCAGAACTGAAGAGGAGGACTAATCCACGACTGAACTAGGACTAAAACAGGACTAAACCAGGACTA